TGTTCAAGGGTTGGAGAATAGTAAATCGATCCACAAGGTTCAGGTATAATTAGAACGCGAGTAGTTCGTTAGATACTATTTTAAACTTACTAAGTCTAAGATTTATCCTGGGTCTGTTAAGAGGGGGGGTCAAGTGAAGGATGAATAACCGAAGTTCTTCACTGTTTATCCTAATTTGAATGATTAGTTTTGTTTAAAAATTTCTATTAGTCTTAGGTCTTTAGAAAGGGTTGGGTAGTGAATCGACGTTTGAGGTCGTTAGACACTAATTAAGTGGGTGGGGGAGAACAAAGTTGTTCTGTTTGATCCAAGGATAAGCCTTGATGATCAAATTTGAAATTTAATTAAGTAGAAAATGATTTAAGATCCAAGGATAAGCCTTGATGATCTGGTTTTAAAATTAAGTGAATTTAAGTTTTAATAAAATTTTAAATGTGTGTAAAGGAAAGATTTAGTGTTTTGATGATATTAGTGGGTTTATGATTGCTGTTATGTTTTAGGTGATGGAGCTGGAACAACAGGATGATTTATGATTACTAACCATTTATTGTCATGCTACTAATTTTTATTTTTTATTTTTCAATAATTATTTTTCAAACATGTTTTGTATATTACTGCAGAGTTTTAGGAAAACGATCTTAGATCTTTTTATCAATCGTTATTGTATATTAATAATTTTGTTTAGCGCCTGAAATGATTTTGAAGATTAACTTCAAGGTTTTATGTTTGCAAATGAAAATCTAAATTCATTGCCAGTAGTATTCTAAATATAAAAGTTTGTTCTGGTTTTTGCCTAACTATCATATAGCTATATGGCAAGTTTCTACTTTGTCGTATGTCGTCTCTGGTTCGAGGTCTTCTTCCAATTCCGGGTAGTTCTGTTATGGTTCGGAATATTGGCTCTGATCTATTGAGTCGTAGAGACATTTCGATTAAATTATTGTCGTATAACATTTTGTAAATGTTTTTGTCTAATTTCTAATCTATTTTGGTTAATTCTAAGCTATTAAGGTCTTGTTCGAGACTTATGGTCGCACCAGATGAGTTAGGACTGGAGTGTATAACTCATAGAGTAATTTCGGATAGGGTACACCGTCTGCTCGTCACGCTATCTTATTTTCGGCCGGATAGATTCGTGCAACTTCTTAGTCTAATACCGATCCTAATCTTACTCTTATACTATCTAGTCTCAGGTTGTTTAACTAGTCTCTGCTAGGCTCAATAGATCTAGGGTATACTGGTTTATTGCGGCTGCTGAAGTGCTCGGGAGAGTCCAACTAATTTCTAAGTTAAATTCAAATCTCTCTGGTGCTGAAATTACAAGTAACTTCAGCACTTACAAATAAGTGGGTTGTTAGTTAGATGGATCATGATTGGTTAATATTAAATACTTTACATTGGTAAAATATCTAATTTATCCAATCATAAAATGTAGTTTAGATCAGGTTCCAGGTTCCATGTTTAATGTTTTTCGTCAATTTTTTGTACTTGTTTTCCGTGATTTGCGTAAATTTTTTATTAGTATTTCGCACTGTTGATTTTTTTGATATTTAAAAATTCTAAAATTGTTGTTAATCACATTTTTTGGGAATCTTTGGTTTTTTTCACAGTTTCTTAGGAATGAGTTCATGAAATGCCTACATTATAGTTTTTGGAGTTTATTGAAACTTATTTCTATCTTTTACCTTGATTAAAAACCTTTTTATTATAAGTTTAATGCCGAGTTTAATGCCGAGTTCGAGAAATTGTGGCTTTCCATCTTTTTATACTTCTTATTGTAAACGAAACAACACTTGAGTACTATTCAATTGTATTGCTATACCTGTTTCTTCCACTTTAACTTGGCCAAAAAAATTCCATTCTTATCGTAAGATTTCGGACATGATTGTCAATTGATTCAGTGATTCTCATAAAATTTATGCACCAAAACAAAAATATATTCTCTACGAGCAAGTTTTTGCCTGGGAACTGTTTACATTCTTGGGTACCTAGACAGTGAATGGCAGTTTGCTTAAGTGTTCTCATTACAACATTTCACAGTTAGAGCTATTGCTATTGGTTTTTGTTTCTAATACTTAAGGAAATTTTCAAAATCGATGAAGTATCGATGTAACGATCTCATTTTGTTTGAATGATGGTCATTTATTTAAATGAAAAGTGTATTTGACTGGTTATCTTAAAATTTTGATTATGAAGACTGGGCAGATCGCAAAATGCTATTTCTGATCATTGGTCCCAATTCTGGAAAGGATTCATTTTTTCTGCCTCTTGGAAAATCAGACTGAGCTCAATATCGCAATCCAGCCCAAGTTTCGGTGAAAAGTTTTTTCCCCTCAATACTTTTTTTCATGCACGCAACACAAATTACATGAAAATGACAAAATTTTCATTTAACAGATTTCGATATTTTTTGAAAAGGTGATCTCTGAATTGCAATCGAAAACAGAATTAGCAAGGGAACAATTCATTGCTTTGTGAGAAAAAAATGAAGAATAGTTTTTATTCTGATTTTTTGAGATATGATCACATCATATCTCAAATAGCATCAGTCAACTGTACTCAGTTTCGAGATATTATGCTCATAAAAATCATAAAGCCTTAACACTTTTTCAACTGCAGTTAAGTTTTTTCCATTTCTTTTCCTTTTTCCATAGCGGCATAGTTTTTTCTTTGCTACATTTTTTAAGTAATGTGTTGGTCACTTGCTCTAGCTCATCAACATTGTTAGATTTGTGATAGATTGGTTTCTCACCATCGCGTTTACACATCACAGAAACGGCACAGTTTTGAGTATTTGTTACATATCATTTGTTTTCGGCAATTTTTTTTATTTATGCTTCCATTAGCAGCAACTTTTCTTCATGTCAATAATTTTATTATTCGACAAGTTTTGATAAGTGCACAACGTTTATTTGCATAAATCAAAGTTTCTCGTAGAACTACACAAGTTTCAAAATGACCGATTTGTTGAAACCATCAAATTTTTTGCTGGGAGTATGTGAAAAGCTTCTGAGCTTGGCGGTAGATAGTAGATAACCGCATACCAATTGATAAAAGTAGTTCAGAGTCCATTTTGAATGGGGGATTATCTATAAAACTCGTAATCTTGGCGATGTACAGTTCCTGTTCCCTCACCCGAGACTCAAGATCCAAAAAAAGTCGTTAATATCCGCAATATTTATAAGAGTTTTTTTCGCATATTGTGTCTAACTCAGCAAAAGTTTTTATGGCCGCTGATTTGGTTGGTTCCTCCTTTCATGTTATCGATGGATTGTTGATTTGAAGTTAACTCCATGATCACATATAAAGTTCAGAATGTTGAGTCAAAAACTTAATCAGATATTGATATTTATAACCAACATTATACAGAAAATTTTCCTTTTCAAAAATGTTCACAAGCTTTCAACTAATTGCTTACGCAGAAATAAGCAAGTTTCCATCATTCTAATTTGATTAAGTAAAACAGAGTTTATTGGGCTTGATTGTCAGTTGATGGGCATGATCATATGTACGGATCCAGATATGATTAATATGATCATATATGACTAATAAAGTTAAACAGCGATTGATAACTAGAACCAACATTTTTAAAAAATTAGTTTTCAGTAACGTTGACAAGCATTATAACCAAATGCATACGCAAAGATAAGCTAGTTTTTCAATTAGTTGTTCATTTCACACCTCAGATTGAGTAAGTAAAACCGATTTGACCGTAATTGAGCTATATCAAAGTAATTCCACGAAACATTCGATTGAAACTCTTTTTAAATAACCCCAATTCTTTAAATTTCACGAAGAGTTATAGGCCTCGATTTGCCTTTGAACTGGAGTAATTGGCATTTTTGGCGCAATTTGGGTCTAGTTTTTCAACAACTTTCTGTTAAGCTCATGCGTGCTCTGAGGTTTAATAGTGTTGGATGCCAATCGTGAAGCGCAAAATAACTGGAAAATCTAAGCTTACTCAGCTATATTTTTTTATTATTTTGGAGTAAATTGAAGAAAAAAAACTTTTTTCTGTTTTTTCTCGATTATTTTGTCAATTTTTAAGCAAAAAAAAACTTTTGAATTGAACTTTACTTGTAGTCGTAACATTCAAGGCTTAGCCCCAAAATACAAGCATTTTTATTTTATTTTATACTCATACTGTTAATATGAAACAAGAAACTAGCGTTTTTTTTTTTATTTTATACTCATACTGTTAATATGAAACAAGAAACTAAAACGTGAACACGAAGTATTAGCACATTGAAAGTAAAACGCTGAAACTCAAACTTGAACAGAGCATGAAAAAGGCGACTGTATTCAAGAACAAATATATTTTAAAAAAGTCACTATAAAGACCCTAATTTGACCAACGTTTCTGCACCACAGGCACATTTTGGAAAAAACGGGCCAAAAAATGCGGTTTTAGGCACTTTTTGGTAGAAGTTAACCAGAAATTGCGTTTTTTTGGCGCCCCTCCCCGAAAAGTTTCAGGGTCGGTTCCGCGAAAATTGATACCTTAAAATAGTACCAAAACGTGACCTTTTGCGTGGGCAGGGGATCGAATCCCTGATGAGAAGAAAGGGTGTCGCCCCCATCCTCTCGCACCAACCCATAAATCCGCTACGCAATAGACACTAAAATGTGTTAAAAATACACCGTTAATTATTGTATTTTCTCCAGAATTTATCTCTTTAGATTTTTGTTTCTTTTTAGATTTTTTTGAACTTTCCCAAAGACGATGTTTTGCTTAGTTCAAATTTTTAAACGGTGTTTTCAATGGGCATGCTTGTTAATTAACAAGCGAACTTCAAGATTTTTTTCGACCAACTTTTCTGTTCAAGTTTTTTTGTCTTTTCGGAAAAACGCTGTAATACCAAAAAATAATTGGGCGAGCAGTTCGAAGGCAAATGTCATTTTGATCAATTTTTTTTTTTTGGGGGGGGGGGTTGCATAAAGTATGAAATTGAATCGCAAGATGGACGAAGGGAGAAACTGCATGTCGTTGTTTGTTTTAGAGCGGAGAACTGCTTGTTTTTCTCTCACCAAAAGACGCAGGAACCTCCTCTGAATCATCCAAGTCCCCCCACTCTACCTCAGAATTTGAAAATGACCCCCCTGTGATCCAACTGGACGATGTGTTCTGGAAAGACATGCGCACTTTGTGTGAAGAAGTGAGGGAGGGGGTGAGGGAGCAACTGTCTTTTGCGCCACTCAGAATATCTCTATGGGACAGGTAAAAAATATTCCATGTTTTAACAAAAGTAGCCCCGGTTGCTTTGCAAGTAGCACAGAATCAACATTTACTATCAATCAATGTTGTTGATTTCTCCTTTACTACTTGGACAAATTGTTGAATTCCGACTTTTGGGTCTAAAGTGAGAGACGTTTCAGGCACGAAATCCACAAAATATTCGAAATTATTTAATGTTTTTCAGGTTGATTCGCCCTTTCTCCCCGTACACACTCTTGATTGAAATTACGGCAGTGAAGAAAAAGAACAAACGTCTGAATTAAAAAGTTCTTGGTCCAGTTCATAGTTGATGTTGCACTCATATAACAATCATAGAGTAATCTTGTGGCCATAGATACACTTGTGGAAAAAAGAGTGGATCATGTTGGGAACCCTGGGTTTGTTACGGTGGACGAAACAAATCAGTGGTTTCCGATTATGAAGCAGAGGTTAGACAGTTTTCAAGCAACACACGATTAACCAATCCACTCCTGGAAACTGTATGGCTGGATGTAGCTGGAAATGAAAAGAAAGACTTTGAAGGGGTAGCAACCAATCAGAAGGGTTCGGATGTTTCAAATGTGACGAGAATCGGAGTGGCAGTTAAGAGTGCTCGGAATATTCTGCTTGCCTGGCATTACTACCCTGAGTAAATAGTTTTTACTTTCTTGCCACTGACAAATGAATACAGCTGTTGCTATTCGGCTCGTAAAAAACGAAAAAACAACATCACTTTTCATGATTTTAGTGAAGTGGGATACTATTGGGACTTGAAGACCTACGAGAACATTCTTCGAAGTCCCAAAGTCTTTGGTGGATTTGGTTTGGAGTGCTGCGAGGTGCATATCTTCAGCAGAGTCGCATTTTTCAAACAGGTTTGGTAGCATCAAATATTTCATTTATGAATAACATCTATGCAGTAATTAATATTTCATTTTAAACTGAAGAAAAAACTGATCTCTAATTAACTCAAATAAATTTTATACTAAAAAGAAATCAGAATTGCGACGTGAAATCATGAGTAATTTAATGTTTGGGGTCTTTCTTTTACACAGGTGGATGAAAGTGTCAAAGCCCAATTGCCTCTGTTCATCATGACAGTAGTGTCCATAGTTGGACTTTGTGTAGCCCTCAACTGGAAACACAGCTGGATCCACTCGAGAGCCACTCTGGCCATAGCTGTCATCCTCGCCACTTTCATGGCCATAGGTAAGTGAACCCCACTCAAATCGTTTGGCTTTCTATCCGACTTCTAATGAAATGCTAATGGAGTTCACACGAATTGTTCAGCATAGATTTTGCATCAGTCGTCCTTATTTGTGAACGAATAATTCAAACTAATTTAGAAATTCCGGATCTCTTCAATGGAAAATCAAACCTGAGAAAAAATCGTATCTCTCGTCAACAGAAAATGATTCCAAAAAATAACTGATGAGTAATTTGAATTTTCCAAAAATTATTCGGTTTATTATGGACTTTTTTAATACTCCAGGCAATGGACTGGTGACTGGAATGCACCTGGGGATCCCCTTCATCGCCCTGGTATCCCTGACTCCCTTCATCATACTGGGAGTGGGCATAGACTCCGGACTCATCCTCATCCGCGCTTGGTCCACCGAGGACTCGGTTGCCGATGTTGATAGATCAACTGGACGGTCGATTCTTCTGGACCCTGTGGAGAGAACCTCTAGGTAGCACTCTTAAGCAGCGTCAAGTTGTGTACTTTGCTTTGTCGATATTGAAAAACGTGGTAAGGAACGTTTTGTTGGGTTTTATTGCAGAAAAAGTTTACAGTTGATAGAGTTCACCAGACGAACTGGTTTTAGAAGAAGTCGAAACAGCGGAACTGTTTTGAGACAAGTCGACCAAAAGTTCAGACTGTTTATTCTATCCATAGTTTCAACTAAGAAATCTAAATAGGGCGAATTCTCATCAGCATTGACAGAAATTCGAATTCCATTATATACGAGGTTTCTGAAAGCGTAGTGAGCAGAATCTGGCAGAAAACAGCAAAAAATTATAGGTTTTTTACGATGATTTATGTATTTCTTACAGCAAAGAAATCTGTGATTTTCTTGATTTTAGGACCATCGGGAAGACCTTCACTTCAATTTTCATGTCGGATTTGACAAGCATTCTTGCTTTTCTGATCGGATCCTGCTCCCAGTTCCCGGCTGTCAATTACGCATGTCAGTATCTCACATTGTGTCTACTGTATCTGTTCATTCTGGAGTGCACCTTCTTGACAGCATGTCTCGTGTTGCATAACAAGTAGGTAGAACTCTGTTCCATTGTACAAAAAAAATCATTTCCTTTTTACAAATGTTTCTTTTTGAAAATTTATTGGCTATTTATGAAAAGTATTACAAGAGAGGCTTCACGTCGGCTTAGGGAAATATGATCTGATTTAACAAAGCCTAGTTGTTGATTTAGTTTTAAAAAGCTTAAAAAACTTATTTAAAATGTTAAGAAATAGCACAATCCAAATAATATTTAAAATCAAATCTATTTTGCATCGTCTAATATCAACACATCAAATATTTCTGCTGGCAGATTTAAGAAGTGTATTAATAAGTGTTTATAGGCTCGATTTTTGATTTTTTTAAAACTCTACCTTCAGAAGAGTGGACGATGGTAGACATTGTGTGTGTTGCTGGGAGACAGTGACGGAAGGGGAGGAGCAAGTGATGCTTCCCTGCTATCCCCGCTTTGATCTCGCCAACACCAAAGACAACACTCTCGAGAGAGACCTGTCCAAGGTACTCTTGACCTAATCGGTCATTTAATTTAAAAAAAAGTTAAAAAAAAAGAAATATGGGATCAAGTTAAGATCCAACCCCTCGAACTAGTTAAGATACTCCCTCCCAGTATCTAAGTTTGAATAAAGCTGTTTTTCAATGTGGCTGATTGGCTCAATCAAATTTTGCAAATAATAATCAAGTTAACGTACTCCTCTTTAAACGTTTTTAGAAGGAATGATGTTAACTTGGTACAACGAGGCTTGGTACAAAGAGTTAAAAACCAAGAAACGTGTAGCATTTGAGCCGACTAGCAACGCAGCTTTTTCTTAAGTCAGAATTAGAAGAAAAACCTCAGGAACTCAAATCAGTTCCCAGGATTTCAAATCAACCATTTTGCCAGATGTAATAAGTCCTCCAGTATTGATTTACAGCATTTTCATTTAACCGATTGACTCTTAACTAAGATCTCATCGTAGCTTATTTGACCAATAAGTTTTCTAAACAAAATTCTGGTATATTTACTTTGCATTTTGATGATATATTTTAGATGTTTGGCAAACTTGTCTCCAGTCTCTGGCTCAGATGCTCCATCCTTCTGTTTACAGCTGCTCTTGTAACGTTTTCTTCTTATCATTTGTACCACATGACAACAGGAGCACCTCCAGACGCGTTCCTTCTAGAGCATTCCCAACTCAAATCGTTCCTCTCACTCGATGTATCAGTTAGCCGATTTCCTACCTCGCTCGCAGTTGTAATTGAGAGTCCGATTGCTTACTGGGATAAACGTGACGTGGAAAAGGGAATTAATTTAACTTTAGGTTCCCCTTAAAGAATAAGATTGAGGAAACGTTTTGTTTTTATATCCAGAAAATTTTTCCAGGTCTGCTCCTAAATTCCCGTCTCTGTGATAGATGGACTCGCCAAAGGAATACCTAACGTAAATAATTTGTTTAAAGTTTCAATTCTTTGTCGTTGCACAATTTTTTTGTTGGGGAACTTAAAAAAAATTGGATCCCTAAACAGATTGAAAAATTGAGAACAGATTTGCTCAATTTGGATTTCATGGATGAATCAGTATACAATGTGCAATATAGTTGGACACATCAGTTTTACGAGGAGCACAATGAAAGTAGTTCAAAAGAGAAGTTTTTCACTGTCTTGCTGCCGAAGTTCCTCAAAAAATATCCCAACTTCGAGAGGGATATCGTCATTGAGAGGAGGAACAATGACTCGAAGGCAATTGGAATCATAACATCTAGGTATTGCATTTTTCAAGGTTAACCCACGAAATCTATATTATGTGTTTGTTCAAAAAGCTGACTTTGTCCTCATCAAATTGGCTTGCCACTGCTAATAATTTACAGATCAGCTAAAAAGAAGAAAAAAAACCTGGTAAAAGAATTAGTTCTAAAATTTTTTTATTTTACTCGATGTCAGTACTCGGCAAAAACAGTGGTAAGTTTTGATAAGTCAGCAGCTATTATCAATTAATCAGTGTTTTCAGTTTCAGCTCTTTAGATTGTTTAGGTGAGTCAATAAAAAAACCATTAAATAAGGAAGTTTTGTTTACTTGAAGTCATTAAGAAAAAGAAACTAAAACTGAATCGCAATAGATTGCCGTTTGCCAAAACCCACCAGCCCTAAAAAGGTCTTCATAGGTTCTTCGTGCCGTCTAAGTTCCTGGATGGAATCAGACATCCAGAGGAAGCCAAAAGAAGACTCGGCCTTCTGGAGCAAGTGCAACAGATCCACTTGAACACGAGCGGGTTGACAGTGAAGGTTGTGGGATCTGTCTTGAAAGGATGGGAGTCTATGTTTGCTGTTAAAGAGTCCACGTGGAGAACTGTGGCTGGGGCTATGGCTATGTGCAGTCTACTTGTGTTCTTCATCATTCCTGAAGTAAGCGTTGCAAAACTATTATTCTTGAAACAAAAAAAAGTTTAAGCAAATATTTTATCATTCGAGATATCTAGTTAGCGGTCATATGCTGCTAACAGTTCGGTTTATTACTATGTATTATTGAAGAATGATTCTCAAGTTGATGGTACCTCTTGAAAGTAATCCCGAAACTTGTCACGGACCGTGACTTTTTATTTGCATGACCAGTCATACACAGAGGATATGGTTTTTCTCTAAGCTCTCCAGGCTTTTTCTGTTGGTGTAATGGAAGGGTTAAAAATGAGAATAATCCGGGTGCGATTCCTATAAACGAATTCCAGAAAAGAGTTACTTAAACTTAGACTAGTTTAAGACTGGGTAGAACTACGGGTTCTCTTCTAAATTGCTAGTAGACTTTTAAATTAATTAATTAAATCAGATTAAAAGACAATAAGTTGAGGGGTATCTAAGCTAGTTAAAAGATAAACTCAGTTAAGAAGTTGAATTGAAATTGGTTAACATAAAACAAACACTGACTATAAATCAGATGTCCAAAAGCGGATGCGCTTTTGGCAGGTACTATTTATTTCCAAAACTAAAGCATAAACAGCGCTAGAGGTTAAAAGTGCACATTACACAGGAAGTCTGATCTAGCCAAAAAAATGTTCTCTATCAAAATCAGTCAACAATTTTTCCCTTTCGAACACAATTGAATTTGTTCCTCGGCGAAACACAGTCGAACTGTGTTTATTGGTCATTTTTTTCTGTTCACGTCTTTTCGGTCGAATAAATTCCTCAGTCGATTGTTGTATTTGCTTCAAATTTTCAGCCAAAGCGTTTTTCTCCAGTCGTTTTTCCACAATCACCCTTAAATTTCCTGCAGTCGCGCCGGTCGCGGACACATTGCCTCGGTCTGCAAAGTCTTGAATTACCAAATTTTGGTCGCGGTGGTCTGAAAATATCAATTTCAATCTGTAAACACCAAAATTTGGTCGCCAACGTCTGTTCATAAAACCACAAGTTCGACCCGGGCACGCGGCAATAACCGGCTCTAAATTTTTTATCAAGCACTTCCCTCTAATGGCAGTAAGCTCGCAACGTGTTGGCGTGACTGCGACGGTGAGTATATTGCGATTTGTGTTTTGATGCGAGCTGTGTAATACATCGCGAGCTGTATTTTGTTGCGATTTGTCGCATTTACGCAAAAAATAGTTTAACTATCTGAAATTCGGAAACCCACATTTTTTAATTTTCTGTTTTGTTTTTCAGATGAGTGTTTGGGTGGCGGTTGTGAGCACCACTTCACTAGCAGTGCTCTGTACATTGGGACTCATGAGTGGGCTGGGACTACAATATAACATGCTCTCATATACACAGATACTCATCTCAATCGGACTGTGCATAGACTACATGAGTCACTCGGGCTACTCTTTCTCAGTGGAGGAGGGGACACCTCTTGAGCGGAGCCAGAAGGCACTACAGGCCATGGGTAAGATATAAAATAAAACTATGGACTGTAGGCGGATCTCTTAAACTATCTCCTCCCTCGGGTACATTATGACGAATACTCCCCCCCCCCCCCCCCTTAAAAAGAAATAAATCTACGATTAAGCATGAGAATTTTATACCTAGTAACGAATCCTTCTTTTGAAAAAGGGGGGTTGTAGTCAAAGAGATCCCTGTAAACACGATAGGCTGCTAAAAAAAAAGATGCATATTTTGATATCTTTTTGCATCAAATCCTGCTTTACAGATTAAAACGCGGGTAATCAAAATCAGCCAGAGCAGAAAATACAAGAAAATATTCAGTCTCATTTTTAAACTTGCGAGAGCAGGTATCTAGTTATCGGAAACTAATAAATTTGAATACACATGTGATTACTCAAGTATTTCATGACATCATTCACGAAATATTTTTGACCACTAATATTAGGTAATAATTATTATATGAGTTTTGGGCTTTGTGAATCTTGGATGTTTCATCTAACGTTATTTTTTTCAGATCTTGTCATTTTTCCCACCCCATATAGTTTGCAGTGAATTTTTTTCCTTCTTTAAAATACTCATTCAAAAGTCAAACATGTCCAAATTGCGAACTTTATAGCAAAGTTCCCCTTTCGCAATGAAAAGAGGGGAAGGGGGCAGGGACAAAATCCGTACTTTTTAGTTTGTTTAAGAGTCGATGAATGCAGTGAAGACTTTTAAATAGGTCACCTGAAATGAAATGAACACAAAGAAATGAACTGAAATTGAAAAGAAACCAAAATTAAAATCGCGAATAATCAGATTTGAGTGTAAACAACCTTTGAAATTTTTTCCCGAAAAAAAATGAAAAAATCATCACGACAGTCGTGATGATTTTTTTATTTATTTTTTTTTTCAGGAAAAAATACTAAAGATTGTTTACACTCAAATCTGATTTTTCGCTGTTTTGATTTTGGTTTCTTTTTAATTTCAGTTCATTTCTTTCGTTAAAAGGAAGGCAAACTCCACAATCAAACAGTAAATATGTAAAAGTCACAAAAATGATGATCGACTTCTAGTTTCAATTTTAATTTTCAGGTCTCCTAGTGGAATACAAAAAAGTATCTACTAGTCCAGTTTTCTCAAATTGGACTAATTTTATCAATGAAGTAGCAATCATAAATTGTTCTTGAATTGCAGGGCCATATTGTTTTCTTCTTTGATATTCACAAGTTGAGATTTTTTGTTAAAAAAAACATGTCCGTTTTTTTCTGTTCTTTGCGTTCATTGACTCTTTCCAACTGTCTATTGGCTATGTTCGTTTGTTTTCAGGCGTGGCCCTGACCAATGCGGCCCTCTCTTCTCTAACTGGTGTGATGTTCTTGTCTCTCAGTTCAGTCTACGCATTCCACTCCTGCTTCCTGTCCTTCTTAGCCCTCTTCCTACTCTCCACCCACTTCGGAGTTCTCTTTCTCCCCACTTTGTTGTCATTCATCGGACCCTCCTCCTCCCCCTCCTCCTCCTCCTCCACCTCCTCCTCCACCTCCTCCTCCTCCTTTTTGGTCTCTTCTTCAGAGTCAAATGTCAATCTTCCAGGCAATTCAGGGATACTTTCCTTTGAATAGTTTAGTTGTTCCGCCTGGTAAAAATACTATTCAAAAACTTAATAGTATCAAAAATATGCCAAAAGTGTGAAGCAACAAGAAACTGACCCCAGGTTGAAAATTTTTTCAATGAAAACTGCTCATTGTGGATGATGACTAAATTTTGTAATTTTCAAATTTTGCTTTAAAAAATTGATAAAGGAATACTTGAACAAATTCGGATTCGACAGATTTGTTCAACAGCTCAGTTTTTATAATATTGAATGATTCTAATTAGACTTGAACGGATGCGATTGGCAACTGTTTTTTTGACTTAACAATTAAAATAAAATTGGAAAGTATCCTCAAAATATTGACAGTAACCAATGAAGACGAGGAAAATGAAGAAGAAGCGGTGATTCTATCATCTTCTGACGACAATCAGGAACCGGTTACTAAACATGCATTAGGCAACTTCATCAAGCTGACTCGCGGAACTTCTGACAACAGAGGTACATCAAAAAACAGACGAATGAACGAATTTGCTTTGAGTCGGATGCTTAGATTTGGAAGAGAAAACATTGAAAATGACTTTGAACCGCTTTTGGCACCTGGTGAAAATAAAGACAACGAATATTTTTAAAAGTTTCATTATCACTTTTTATTCTATAAAAAGTTATTTTTTTTCTATCGAATTGAAAAAATTCACTTTCCAATGAAAATAACGGATCCTTTTCATTGGGCACATTAAATCAGCTCAAAATTTAACCAAAAAAAGCTAAGGTAGACAAAAGTTTTTAAAAGTGTTTTTTTTTCTAAACTGTTAATGTTGCCATCTTCCAGCCATTTTCCCACAAATAGTTATTCTCAGCTTAAAACCCACAAAATTTTAATCAACTCAAAACATAAACCAATCACTGATATTCCAAAGTCAGTAACAAATACAGTAACAAAGACAGTAACAAATACAGATGTGGATACACCTGGTCAGCTATTCGATGTAAATTTAGGACATTATCAACTGAACTATCATCTGAATAACCTAAATATTGAAGTTGTTATGTCTAGTTAACGAGAAAACGCTTTGGATAGTTCTAAAAATATTAAATTCAAATATGGTCGAAAATTTAAAATTGGCTATCTCAGTTCAATTCTTGGAACTTCCCATGTGTTTGAGTACCTGAAATCCGAAAAAATAAACAGAGCTAAAGTTATTTTTAAAAGGTTCATACATCAATCTGCATGAAAGAAACGTTGTAAAAACAGGTTCATTTGTCAACGGTGGCTCGTTGTTTTGCAGTTAAGATCATCAAAAGTCATTTTCAATTGGCTTTTATGAATTGAATTTTGCAAAAAAAAAGTGGGGGAACTGGTAATTTTTTACGCAAAGATTAAATCACAGAAAAACAGACGAAAAACACAACCAACCACTACCAGTAAGAAAGCTTTGAATACTTTCCATGCGTCCACTAAGCCACCAACTACAAGTAGAAAAAAAACACGCCAATGAAAATTGTCATAAAAATCAACAATTTTTCTAAAAATACGAAAGTTTCGAGCTCAGAAAAACAGAAGAAAAACACAATAACAAGCATTAAGCAAGCTTTTAGTTTTTTTTGAGCGACCACTAAGCCACAATAGGTGGTTAGATGCCAATTGATTCGAAAACAAAAACACCAAATGAATTTGTTGTCATTAAAAAATCAACAATTTTTCGGAAATACCAAAAATTCAATATCAGTGAAACAGACGACCACTAGCAGTAAACAAGCTTTTAGTATTTTCGAGCGTTTACTAAGCCACAACAAGTGGTTAGACGTCAATTGATCAAAATACTAAAGGAAATGGTTGTCACAAAGATCAACAATTTTTTGGAAAACCAAAAATTCAATATCAGAAAAACAGACAACCACTAGCATTAAACAAGTTTTTAGTATTTTCGAGCGTTTAATAAGCCACAATAAAACGTGAGGCACTGTTTGATCAGAAAACAAAAAAATACCAAAAAATTGTTGTTATAAAAAACTATCTGGAGCGATTAAAACCTTCCAACTGTTAGTTTTTATACCACCAGCCAACCGGATTTATTTAAAAAAATGAATAAATTTTTAAAAATCTTTATATTGATTATATAAAAATCTTTATAAGTTCACCAAACCGACAAAACAAGAGCTGAAAACGTTTTGGCTGAAATTAGTTCTTTTTTCCTTGAAAAATAAACAATTTCAATAACAATAAAAATATCATACCACGCAAAAAAGTTTGAAAAAACGTGGCTACAAAGCCGGTAACTATCAGCAGACAACCCATAGGCCGATCAATTTTTGGTTCTAAATAGTTTAAGTTTGAAAAAATGGGCGCTGACCGGATTCAAGCGTAGTCACTCAGCCGTTTACTAGTTTTTGTAGTCAGTGATTGTAATATTTTTTTCACATCATTTTAAGTTCCGTTTCATTGTATTCCTTCTTGCTGTTGTATTGCAAAACTGTGAAGCTCTGCTTCACCTCTGAGTAAAAAATCATCAACCTACGAAATGATTCAGCAGCAGAAAAAAAAACGTTTTTTCGTTTTGTAATCATCTTTTGCCGCAGCTCATTCTGAAACTGAAAATGGGGCAAACTAAATTAATCATTCAAGGGTTTACACAACTGTAGAACGATTGGCAGCAATTATTGAGCTCTAGAAATTTCGACCATGCTCGGGATATGTTTCGAATTTGTGCTCATTCCAAACCCTTGTCTCGACTACTCTTTTTCTTCAAGCACTGAAATGTGCACAACTTTAAGAGTCGAAACTTGTGAACACCTCGACCCGGGTGAGTCGTACAAATGGCACTAAAATTTTCAATTTTTTTTTTTCAAAAATTTGTTTCCATTTTAGCTGCAAGGTAAACTTCAGCGGTGTTTGCAATCAATATTTTGTGATTTATTGTCAACTGGTGAATAATTCGCTGGCTGAATGTTTGATTTGATTGTTTCTAGCTTTTTTTAGTGATAACTTTTTGTTGCCTCAAAAAAAATGCTTATATTTTACTTTCGATCATTTTTAGGCTTTATCGTGGCAGTCCTGTGTATAACCAGCAAATATGCTGTTCTAGATAACTGCGCGCGCATTAAAAACACATAAATTGGTTTATTTTGCAATTTGAATTTCTTTTGTGCGTATACAAGCAAAAAAAATCTACAACAGTTCTGTTGCTGGTGCGACTCAAGCTTCTTGCTGGAATATGGAAATTCAGTCGCAGAAAGTCTATTTCGGCGACCCAGTTCGGTTGCAACATGAGTCGCGGACCTCGGACTGGCCAGTAGCGAACAAAAAAACCTCCTGTCACCAACACGAAAAACTCTGATGTGTTCATAACAGGAATTTGAGGAAGAACAAAATGCGGCAGCTATCTGCCATACTTAAAATTACGAGAAAATGTTTGGTTTTTGCTGCTCATTCAGCCTTTTTCAGCTGCGTTTTTTTGTTCCGACTTTCGATGAAAAATAGGAATATATACCCTGGGTGTGATTTTTTTTATTCAGACCAATTTCACAAAACTCTTTGCTTCTTTAAAAGATCGGTTCCTTGATCAGCATGAGCCCAACCAGGTGTGCACACCACTATGGTATCCTGTCACAATTTTTTCTAAACTGCTCATTTTGTATTTTACATGTGGCGATTTATCCCGCTCTACAAAATTTTTATAAAATGAACAGGCAATTAACTTATCGGTCTTAATAATTCCATGCACTACTCAATTTTTAAACTTGAAAATTCAATATCAGCCTAAAACTCATAGTTTTGCCAATTTGAAATTTAGCAAAAACTATTAGAGACCAAAAACTAACTAAATGGCTGTCGGAACCTTCAGGGTTTTGCCCTGATACGAGCAGTCTTGTTTGTAATTTATGCAGACTTCCAATTTTATGATTGTCATTATAAAAAAAATGGTAGTGCTAAAAAATAAATAAAGTTCACCACTGCGAGGCTGAGAGTTTGGTTTCACTTGACTCGAACTTCAGCTTCGATGAAAAATGAGATTTTGAGTTTTTTTTTTTTTTTTTTTCAATTTACGAGCACATGAAATACAAAATGTACAAAATTGCCTCGAATTATATCTGATCAAACCATGTCATAACATGTAATTTAAACTACATTCTAGCATTTAGGTCTTATTGGATTAAATTATTTTCAATCAAATTCTGCTATATTCATTATGGAAACAGCCGAAACGCAAATGAAATTCTACAAAACTTCAAATTTATACAAATTGTGATGATCTATATCTCTCTGGTTGAACACAACATATAAATAAAGACTAAGCAACTAGGAATCGAATGTATGTATCGAAATAATCGAATTTTAACTTCAGCTTTGATTTTCTCATAAAAAGGCGAAATATGCAGGCAAGAATAATTATATATAAGAAAATGCACCAAAGTATAAAACTAGTGATTAAAAATTTTGAGCACAATTTAAAGTAAGGCAACTTGTTAAGCCGAAGGAAGAGAAGCAACTTGATTGAGAGGGTGAGGGTATTGGGGGGGGGGGGGGGTGGTATAGGAGAGGAGGGTGTCAGCAGGGTGTCGCAAAAAGATACAATCATTAGATCAGATTATAATCTGTATATACATTTATTCATGCATCAACTGGGTGTGTGTTTATGTAGAAACAATTTATTCGTGTAAGATATAACTCATGTCAAAAAGAGAAATGAACATCAGTGGTTGAAATAAATCCTTACAAGGTTGTTTGGAGTTTTAATTGTTCTTGGATTTTTTTCTTTAAATAAATACAAAAAAATTTTATGTTAACACAACACAAAACATTGAAACATATCATTATCATACTAAAAAGCTCAGTTTAAATTATAAACAAAAGTCAATTCTGTGGAATTGACTTCACCTCTCGATAGTCTCGAAGGTCTTTTCATTGCGATTGCGAGCCAATTTTTCTGAATATTTTCGAGGAATAATGTTCCCTTATCTCTCTTAATTTACATTACTCGGATGTGCTCTTAGTTGCGCCAGATGTGCTCCGGGCAAATAATCTATCAACAATTGTCCCCTCATTCCACCTCCCACTCCGCCGACACCCATTCCAGAACAGTCGCCCAGAGAAGACCGGTTGCTCTGGCTCCCTTGATTCCACATGCCCACTCCCATTCCTACACCTAGTCCTGATGGTCGCATTGACGTCGAAAGAGTCCGTTGGTCGGCAACTGCGACTCCTCCGAAATATCCGGCAGATATTTTATTTGGCGTCGGGACTCCCAAAGGAGTCGGGGTCCCTAAGGTAGTCATGTCGTGAGGCTGACTTATGACACCTTCAGTGTAACTCTGTCGCTCCTTCGGCCGCTGCGAACTCGGCTGACTCGAGTAGCTTTGCGTCTGCAAAGATGTCTCGCGGAACGATCTCAACGGACTGTAAAGAAATTCCGCTTCCAGTTGTTTCATTCGCTGTTGCTTCATTGCCTCCCTGTCCTGTGGGCTGGAAGATGGGTGGATGCTATTGTTTCGGGGCAAAGAGAGTCCATTTGGTTGGTTCGGTGCCGAGAGAGAAAGAGACGAAGGGTTCTGGGATGTTTGATTGGAATCCTGGGAAGCCTGTTCATCGGGTGTCTCAAGAGGTCTCTGAAACAAAAAAAAATTAAAGTATTGGCTAAATTATTCAAAAAAAGTGTTTCTCCTAGCAAGCAATTAAAATGAACAATAAAAAATTCTTCGCTGATTTTGAACTGCACATAATCTATCCGAACGGTGAATATTTACTAGACAGTGCCTAAATTTTTTGAAAATAAATTAATTTGACATGCAGGGCATGCAATTTTCCTCATTTTAACTGACCTGAGGTTAAACAAAAAAGCTCGACAAAAAATAAGTTTTCCTATGCTTATGAGTTTGCTAAATTCTGCAGAAACAACTTGAAAAAAGCCTTACTTGTTTGTGAGGGTAGACGTTTATGTGGCACTTGATGCACTCCTGACTCATATTGGCCCACGAGTTCCCACTCATCCACTTCCTCTTGCACTTGGGACACTTGTACTCCCCAAAACACCTCTTCTTTCCTTGGTAGGGGGTCAGACCCTCGCCCTTGGGCCGCGCCTGAAACAGGAAAAGACTCATTTTACTAAGCTTATTTAACGATTTAATAACCCCATTCTCATAAAACTTAGCCGTTATCTCTAGCAGTATTATTTCATTTTTAAACTTGTTCATTGAAGATCAAGATTGTTCATTGGAATGTAACTCACATTTCTGTTTTTTTTAGTTCTGTAGTTTGCCATTCATTGTTAGTCTCAGTTCGTTTCTTCAATCCATTACAAAATGAAATTCATAAAAACCAAGTGAGAATGATCAGTTAAAGAAAAATACTTACTTGAGGACAGTCCTTGATGTAGTGTCCTTTTGTAAAGCACAGATGGCACAAGTAACTCGGAGGTGGTTTCTTCTTTCCCCTTCTACCAAACCCGTCCAGCGACAACTCCTTCAAAAGATCCAATAAGTCCTCTTTATCCATCCCAGAAGTATCCAGACCATCAACATCGAAATCTTGGATTTCATCTCGACTCTGACTTTCTTTTCCACTGAAAGTCAATTCACCGCTGTCGGCGAGACTCAGAGTAAACCCTGGTACCAAAGATGCCAATGGTGCAGCTCCTGCAGTGCCTGATGATCCTAAACGGTTCTGAACATTGGAAGGTATCCCATTAGCATTTGATGACGTGAGAGGCGTAAATGGGTATGATTCTTGACCATGGAAGCTTCTGGACTGTGTCATTGGACTCTTATTGTTTGCAGACCTGGATCCGACCATCACAATGTTGTTGTTAACCTCCACCACCCCATTTGGTGAATGATGTTCATTGTTGCTTTTCATTTGTAGAATCTGCTGATTATTGTTATTTGTGTTATTGTTTTCTCTATGGTGGGGCAAAAAAGGCGAAGTTGAGAGTGGGTTTCGAGGACTGTTGCAGTGTGACTGGTACTGCTTCATCATCATCATGGGACTGAGAGACATGTCGGTGCTAGGCTTCACACTCTAAAATAAACATTTTTTTTATCATAGCAAAATTTTATATTGCGTAGTTCTAAAAACCTGAAATTAAAGCTTCATTTGATATAAAATTTTTATAAAGTTAACCTAATTCTCTATTTGTTTCTAACTATTCATTGTTTGCGATTTTAGTAGAAACATTTTTCGTTTTTTAAACTCCAAAGTTATTATTAAGGATGAGGTTGAGTGATTTGAGTTCTAACCAATTGTTGCATCAAATCGATGGACGGAGAGCTCGAGGTGAATCTACTCAAGGACACATTCTCCTTTCTAGCCCCTCCCCTATCGCCAGCTCCATTTCTGCCCCCACCCAACTGATTTGGGGTCAAATGGGACCACAATCCTCCCCCACCCCAACCTACGTTATCCCCTCCTCGATTCTGCTCTTCTAATCCGACATCAACACCAAGGGGACCGAATGAGTTGGTAATAGGTGGGGACGAATACTTGTTACGATGATGGTGCTGATAGTGGTTTGAACCATTGAGCATGTTGCTGAAATCTCCAGTCAAATGAGATGATCGGAGTAAGTCGTTGTGATTGTGCAAAAGAGTATCGACGGTTCCGTTCATTACAATAACTCGCGTTCGGATGTATTTGGATGGGTATATAATTCCTGCAACTCTTTTATGAAGTTAGGCAGAGAGTTTGTTTTTAAAGCACACTTTTTAATTGTGTAAATTTTTTGGGTTGCAAATGATGAAAGCAAAATATACTATATATAATCGAAAGGAATTAAGGCAGCTAAATTTACAGTTTTATCATGGATTTCAACAACTTTCCGGTTTCATGGTTTAAGTTAACTTTTGGGTGCGATTCGGGTCTATTTTGGTCGCAAACAAAGCTGAGCCGGGGAAAGGGCAATGAAAACAAACAGTTTGGGAAACTTACGGAATGCAGTAATGGAAGAAAACTACAAGTTGTACCAAAGTCTGGGAATTTAGTTTCTATGGACCCGCAAGGAATTGACTAAAAATAAACCTGCAGATAATTAAGTTTTATTTGAATTGATAAGTACGCGTATTCGGGTCTGAAATATTAATAAATCAAACTGTTTTGTCGGGATTGCAAAATGATTCAGTTGAAGATTACAAGAACAGGAAAGCAAAATTTGAGGAAAACGGGAGAATTTGGGGAAAAATTTGAAATCTAAAGCATAGACATAGTTAAACTAAGTATACTCGGCATTTACTCTTAGTTTAAAATAGATTTAGGGGGAATTGTTTGGAAAACAGGAGAACTCGCTTCTATCCGCTTTTGTAGATACACTTGCTCCTCCGGTTTAAGTTGCGGTTTCAGCGTCTTGTTAGACCATTACATACGACTGTAATTCCTGTGAAGCTCTGTTTAAGACTATTTTATTGTTTTAAAGTGACTGACAATCAACTGAAGTGTGCAAGTTAAACTTGTAGAATGATTGTGGAATTGTTCTGAAAACTCGGAACTCTACAAAACAGGACGTCTGATTCCCGAAATGAGTCCAAAAGGAATCGAAGTGTGAATGTGTGAAACACTCCTTATTCGTTTGATATTATATTATCAATGTTCATCTAATCTATGCTCGACTTCATTACACGTCTAGGTCTTATACTAATACTTGTCTCGGTACAAATGCAGATTTGGTCCTTCTCTCTCGCGGGTATTTTAAAAGACGTGTTGCTTTTCGCGCCAGGAATCCAGCAGTGAACCGTATCCGGATTAAACTTCCGGCGCAAACCCAGTTCTCATGGTTTCAGGGCCTTATGCACAGATCAAAAGGGGGAATTGAAATGGTTTGTCATTTAGAATCCGGTAATATAAAATGGTGAAAACATAACATAAACAGCCTGAACATGTAAGGTTCTGCGGTACTCTGGGGGTATCCTATGATAATTGAGATCGTTGACCTGCTGTTCTGGTCAAGCGGATTCGTCAAATAAGAATTAAAACGAATCTAAACACAATTAGTCTCAATTTATTGATAATTTTTGACAATCAATACAATTGAGATTAGGTTTTGACATGAGGCTGAGGCTCAGATTCCGAACTATTTGTGTTTCCAAAATTACGCTTTTAATTTAGGTCTGCTGCTCAAAAGTATGAAGTATTTACTCCGGTTTTGGGATTTACAAGGTTTGAATCCCATAGAATTATAGTTAACTTGTTCGTCGAATATTTTCAAGTCACGTTCGACAAGTGACAACAGTTTCAAATCAGATTTGAGGGCAATTATTTCTTCTGACAATCGCGTCTATGCCTGGTGATACTGATTAGTAATTAGAAAAGTTTAAACTAGGTTATATTTATGGCCTTAGATTATGGTCGTTACGCTAAGATGTTACGGCTCTTTCTTGAGGTTCACGCCTTAAAGTCGATTTAAGATACAAGAAGAAAATTAATCGCGGCAAAGAGCAGAAGATATGAAGCAGAAGATTAATCAAGGAGTAAATTCGATATAAAGGAAACAAAAGTTACGAATAAAGAATATAATAGTTGTTCAATAGAGATAACCATACAGAGAAGAATAGTAGTAAGACTAAAACAGAAGGTTTTGTGCTTTAATTGTTTGACTAAGTTTGGGTTTGATTACTTTAAGGGGGTTCTAATCTTATCTGCAACCATATAGCTTTTCTTTTCTCACAGTATTTCATTCTGTCAGTGAAATTCTTAATTCTTTCTCTGTTCGTCAAAACCAAGCACACCAACAAACTCAACACCAAATCGAGTCTAAAGTTAACTGATGTAGATACTGCACGTTTAGCATACAGACTAGCAGCTGCAAGGGTTGTTTTGAACGTAACGCTTGGGTATGATTGAGTTCAATTCAGGCCATTATTATGAGAGATTGACAACTAACGTAGAGCATTGAAGTCGACCATTAGAGCTAAACCCAACTGTTTGCCTTGTGCATGCTGATTTAATCATTACTGCTAGGGCGATCTTACCATTTACTTTTTGACTCTTCTGCTCTAAAACGGTTATTATAATCTGGTTAAGCTATGCTAATGTTCTTTCGCTCATAAAGGTTTTCGTTGAAGTTAGAACGTAAGTTAGAAAATAAAGTATCGGCGTCTTAATTAATCCTTTAACATTGGCCATGTTAAACATCTTACATATGACGTATTAATCACTCGTTAAAAAATTACCAAAAATTGCGGGCTCCCCCCTTAAATTTAGTTTAGATAATTTTTGAGGTTGGTCAGTCAACAATGGATGTCATAAATTTATACTAAATATCAAGGCCGTTTTTTGCATCTAGAACTTTCACGTGGTACCACTATTGCAGACGTAATAGGTCAGGTCAGGCTGTGGTAGACATGCTAGAGGTCCAGCTAGAGTTCAAGTTTTAGTCGTCCTCACACACTTTCATTGTCATGGCAGGTGATTGATTACACGATCTATAGAATTCGAAGTGAGCGCTTTACCACTAGGCTAAGTTTTCAAAATTTCCAGCATATAACTTCAGCAGCTTTACAAACACAGTGTGAAAAACAAGATTTAATGATGGACGGATAAAATAACTGAAGCAAACCTAGCTATCATAACCGCGACTCAACACTGATTAAAAAAATTCAAAAAGAAAGTTGTTTATTAAAATCACAGACTTAGAAACCGCAAAAAAAGTTATAAGACTCAAGGTTTGAAGAAAAAATTGGAATAAAGAAGTATGAATATACCTAAACTCAAAAAAGATGTCATTGATTTTTTATATATGGTTTATACTTTTGAGAAAAAAAAACAAGGAAACAAGTTACTCTGCAAAGAGCACGGAACGTTCCACAAGTACACAAAAAAGGTTTAAAAAGTTATGTTTTCACCCATTTTTCCGTCAAAAGTTATAACAAAAAAACGCGAGAACCTGACAAAACTGTTTTGAAAAAGTAAAAAAAACTTTTTGGCACTTTTTTAGAGACGAGAGGGGATTCTGAACACAAAACAAGATATTTAAACTATGTTTGAACTTTGAATGCAATTAAACTAGCTTATATATGCAACTACCCTAGATCATTCACAATTTATAATTGAGGTATATTAAATCGCGTAAGAAAACCAAGCGTAATCCCTAGTCGCTTCACCATTGCTGGAGAGCGGTTGAAACAATTATAGTTTGTGAGTGAAAAAGTAATTCATTAATGAACTTCGAGTAATGTGTTGCCTCTTGAACCACATAATAAAAAATGATATAAAAAATGAGCAATTGCTAATTCCTTTAAAACATCATCAAAATCTGTAGTTTTTCTTTCCGGAAATGGAAAAATCTCATAAATCGGTTAAAAACCGCATGACTTCGATTTTTGTTTGATGCACAGTTTGAACAATGATCATATGCAGATAATCTGCGGTATGGGATACTGTTACAATTACCTATGCTTATGAAAAAAATTGATAACATAAAACTTAAAATAAAAGAATAATTTAATTTTTTTTTCACTATGTTCATATGCAAGCAATGCAGAGTTTGTGATTAAGTTATAATCAATTTGTGTTATAGGAATTTAAACTATAAGAAAAAAAATTTTTTTTTGATGAAATTGTTTGATTAGCATTTTTTCCACAAATTATCAAACCGCAGATTTCTTTCGTGTCTTTGTTTTCAAATTTTTTCCCATTTTTTTTATTTTACCCACACATAATAGAAATATTATTTCCTCAAAAATTGCACTTTCATGTAAAATCTCACAAAACAGCAGGCATTTGCTATATGAAATTAAATATACTGCGCGTTTAAGCAATTTTTAAGCAAACTAGCCTTCAAGCAACTGAACTTGTTTGGAGTGTTCATCAATTTGAAAACATTCTTCATGGAAACTTTTTTCATGAGCAGTCTGTCTTTTTACTTCATATATATTATCAAATTGTAGGTTTTTAATCTGTTTTTCATTAGATTTTGCCATTTTTTGCCCGCGAAAAATTGGATCGTTTGCTTATCTTCCTATGTTTTTGCTCTTCGAAATCAGGAGATTCACTCACTGTGCTTTTGTTTTGTTACCGTGTTTCGATTTGTAAAACAGAATTTTGGTAAATCTTAAACTTTTCAGATCCTCTTCAATATATTGTTTGAAATTATACTTTTTCTAAACTTTATCTTTTGTCTCTTTTTGATGATCTCAATCATTATTTGCAGTGAAATTTATAGAAAAGGTCATTTTTAAAATCTTTTTTAAAGTTAAAAAGAAACGATTTCATAGAAAATGAAGAGCAGCCAGCATAATCAGAGCTTTGCCCCTGTATGAGCAATCTGAATTACTTTTCAGCCTTCTCAACTCTAATTTTTGCATTGTTTTCTATACCAGTTACAATTTATCAACAGATCGAGAAGCTTTAGAGATAATTAACAAAAATTTACCTTCCTTTTTTCTGGATACCAAAATTTTCAAAAAGTTCCCGCTTTGGTAATATTTTACCCATTTATGATTGACAAACTTAAATTTTTGTAAAAGTCAATATTAATTGCAGCGAACCAAATCTTTTTCCAAACAGGTTGATAAAAGAGTTTGAGAAGAATTCGGAAAATTAAAATCTACTTTTTTGTCTGAGTTTTTGTCTCTTTTGATCATCTTGAAAAAGTCGACTAACGCTTCAAAAACTTCCTTCTTTCTTGAAAAACTCTTGCGATGTAATGGCATAGTTAATGGAAAAATTCAATTCACGCGGCATGTAGGAAGCGAACGGTTGTTCTGCTGCGCTTTCTTTTGGCTCATAGTGTCTTGTGCGCCTGAGCTATTGTTTTCCGATAATGTAATTTTTGTTCCGACCATTTGAAAAATGGGGAGGAACTTTAAATTTTGGTGTGTTTTAGTTTTGTTTTCTTTTTTTTTGTCCACACAAAATCAGGTACCATAAATAATCATCGGAAGGGGTCGAGTGATTTATCATTCTTGTGACTCTAACTACTGAAAAAATTTGCTTAGTGTCGAGAAGAACCGGTTTGAATTTTTTGATTTTTGGCCTAATTTCGAGCTAAAAAGGCGAGCGTGCACGCTTAAAACTGCTTATTTATGCTTAATTCAAGCTGTAAAAACTTAATTTTCCTCAAGTATAGTGATTTTTGGAAGTTGTTAGAGCCATTTTGGGAATAAAAAAATCGAAAAAAAAAATCTGCGAAAAAAAATTAAAATTTTTCAGAAATTATAAACAAATTTTCACAATTTTTTTTTGTTTTCCTAGTCTTTTTCAAGACTATGGTCGGAACATTCTGTGCTACTTGAACAGTAACCAGTTATCCATAATTTAAAATGTCTTCAAATAAAACTAGCAGTTCTAAGTGTGTCTGAACTGTCCTGGCTGAGTTATCTCGCTTCTTTTACCCGATTTGTCCTGATTTAAAAATATCTGATTGGCTTGAGCTGACTGACTGTTAACGCTTCAAAAATAGTGTATTTTCAATTTTTAAATTGAGTTGGCGTTGATTTTGATCAGCAAACTATGAAAAAGTTTAATCAACGAATAGTTTAGTTACTTAATCAACTGCAAATAAGTAATTAAAACATAGATGATGAGAAGAGAGAGAAGGCCGCGAATGAAGTAGATGAGGTGATGATAAGTGGTGGAGCTGAAGTGCGATCACTTAGGCAATCGGTCAACAAGTCGATCGACCAGTTGGCCGAAAAAGAAAAAAGCGCGCCTTGTCCGGGTAAAAGAAAATTGGAAAATTCACTATATTAGTGTATACACTTTGAGTGCGATTTCTTGCCAATACTTCCATAAAAACTGAGAAAAGTCTTGAAAAACTAAAGAATGGTTGCTTGTTGACATTCGCCTGAAAAAATATTACGATAATTTAATCTTGGTTAATTTGCTGCTAAGCTTGAAGAAGTTAAAACTCAGATCCCAAATACCAAATCAAAGGTTCAAGTGAAAGGCAAATAAAGTAATCATATTTATGAATGTTGAAAAAGTGATATAAAATCAAAGCTAGTTTCAAATTACTGCTAATGTTTGGTTTGGTCCACCAAATCAAAAAGCGTCGCCATTTGTAGCTCAACGCTGGCTGGATAATTTGGTCGAACCAAGGATCTGGTCGAACCAAGGATTTGATACACAGAGAGTTCGGGATCCAGTGGACGTTTGAGGAGTCCCTACCGTTCTGTTCGTTTCAGGGTGGTGAAAGTTGGACAAACTTTTTTCGATTTTGTTCACTTTATTCGCCCTTTTTAGTCTCTGTTAATCGACTTAATAAGGCAAACGTAAACGTAAACGTAATGACGAATAAATTCACGCAGTTTGTGATCTCATTTTTGAATCATACGCATGTTTCGTCATTGTGATGCGGGTTGTTACTGCTTTTTCTCAGCTTGCCGCCTTTTTTGCCTCTGGGCTCTAATCTCCTCTCCAATTCAGTTCTTAATTCTGCAGATCGAGGAACAACATTCTCGTATACGTTTACAAACGGTTTTACATTTTCGTCAACACCGACTTCGTTTTTAGTCACGTGACTTGGTTCTTGTTCTGATTTAGTTTCGTGATGTTTCTTTGCTCTTGGTACTCGTGCATGTTGACGCAATTTGTCTAGGTCGTTTAAATGAGAAGGGGGACTGATTCGTTGTTCAGGAATTAAAATATGCCTCAAAATTTCCATATTCCTATCATCTTGACTGGCTATGTTCTGTGGTTCCTGGATTCCTTGGTGTTCCCTTGGGTTCCTTGGTGTAACACTCGTAGAGGTAGCAGATATGTTCACAGCTGGAAACATCTGACGTGATTCTGGACTAAGAGGAATTTCCTGCTCGGGCTCTGTGACTTCTGCTACAGTCATAAATTGTTGACCCCCACCCTCCAAGCTTTGCCGGTCTTCGTCCAACCCCGCCGCAGCAACTCCTAATTTATCAGCTCCGCCTCCGCCAGAATTGCCCTCGGGCAAAACTTCCTCTTCGCTAGAATCACTCGGACAATATTTCTGCCTAACGGGACTATTTGTTGAACTTGTATCGTCTGCAGCGGTGTTGAAATCCATGTTGTTCACTCTTAACCCTCCAACGCTAGTAAGAGCCGACACCTGATTCGCAAGTGTCATTGTCTGATGCATGAATCCATTGTGCTACATTAAAAAAAATTTCAAATGCTTGTTGGTATGAGAAACGGTATGAAACCATTGTGCTACATTAAAAAAAATTCAATTGCTTGTTGGTATGAAAGTGGGCAGGAACTTTGTCTTTGTGTTGGTTTTAGTTTTTTTTTGTAATTCAAAAGAACTCGAGTGATATATATTACACAGAGGCGAAGCTGCACTTCGCATACACAAGCAAAATATGACCGATAACGCTACTGGGAAAAACTGAATGAGTAAAACTTTGTATCTACAAAATTTCTTAAGGGACGCAAGCCAATTACGACGCATTAGCAGTACCAGTCAATTTGAAAAAAAAGAAAATTACTAATAGCACATGCCTCAATTTATAGAACGGACGCATTTTAGCTAGTATACGAAAACGTTCTTTAAGAGCAACCGACCCTGCCCAGGTTCGACCCTATTATTTTGTTGAGGGTCTCCTCTCTATCTCTACGCTACAGATCCATGATACCTTGAAGCTAAGGAACCACTTGTAATACAAAACTGCTCGCATCAGGGCGAAGCCCTGATTGTTCTGTAAAATAAAATGATTTTTTTTAATTCAAAATTTTTGTGAAACCCATCTCCCCACACGCCATATAAAGTACAAAGTGATAAATTTGACAAATCAATCATGGCAAACTAGCTTCCTTTAACTAATTTGGAACGGTTTCTAAGACAGATTAATCTCCGCTTACGCGTTAATAGCCCGAATTATATCGAGCATTAATTTTCCCAAATTGACCAAAATGACAATTTTCAAATCCCCCATAAATTTGTGAGAAATGATCAAAGGTGAAATATCTTTTCAAATTTAAGCTGAAGACAACAATAACTTTTGGATGATATGAAAAAATTTTGTCAAAAACGGCTAGTTAAAAAGTCGAAATTTTTCCAAAACCAAACAATAGCTTTTGGATGATATGAAAAAATTTCGTCAAAAACGGCTAATTAAAAAGTCGAAATTTGAAAAAAAAACCACCCCGAGCACTAATATTCTTTTCCTTTCGATACGAAAGTCGGAACATTAGTAGTCGGTGTTAATATCCTCAGCATTGGCTGTACTTACTAGCTGGTTATTGATCAAATTGAACACTTTCAAAAAGAACACAATTTATTGCAACAATATTTGCGTCGCAACAATATTTGCGACTTTGGTTGGAAAAAAATATAGTTCATACTACACCACAAGCTTGCTTGTATAATAATCCAACCAACTCACAAACAACCATAAAAATGTTTCAAAAACTTGTCCCATTGTCGAGAAAAATCAAATAAAGTTTTTTTATTTTCAGTTTAATTTTGAGCGAGTAAAGCGAACGAGTAACAATCGTTTTATAAAAATTATAGTAACTTAGGCTACAAAAATTTGAATAAAGAAGAAATTTCTAAAAAAAATACCAAAAAAATTTGTGGAAAAAAGACAATTATAATTGAAATATTTCATGTTCTGTTTGATGTTCATTTTGGAAAACAACTGTTGTCAAATATGACCAACTCACTGACATTCTACCGGTTTGTATAGTTTTATCATCACACTACCTGCACAAATTGAAAAGACACAAATGACACAACTTGAAAAAAAACTGTCTACAATTGTTTTATCGGTATTTTGCGAATGAGCAGTCCTCAAATAATTTTAATTTTTGCTCGATGATTAATGATCAAATAGTGTCTTAGAAAGTACCTGCTGGAGTCTATAAAACTTAACTTCCGGACCACCGCAATTAAATTAAATTAAGTATCAACTGCCAACACATGATCATAGGTGGTTTCAAATGAAATGAAAAGAGTTTGAATGTGGATAACAGCAGTCTCTTTCATCATATCTTCGTTCTAGTATTTAAAAGCCATAGCCTCATTACGGTTTTTTATTTTTCAATGAGTTTGCTAAGCCGGAAAAAAGCCAAATTTTATCGAATCAAGACATCCAAAATTTCCGGTTTTGCTGCAGAAAAAATACTTTATATAGCTTTGAAGAAAGTAATTTGATAATTGTAAAAAAGAACCTCGTTATTGTTGTTTAAAATAACGATTAGCAAGCGTTTTTGAATCCAAATCGAAATATCAAATATTTTTCCATTTTTCCAGTTAATTGAGAATTTTTTTCGTAAAATCTGTCTTTTGGTCACATAAAGAAAATTTTTGCATGTTTGTATTTTACGTACCCCTTCTATTTGAAATTTTTTTACGATAGTTATAAATTTATCAATTTTGATATTTTTTATTTTATTATTTTTAAAAAAGTTTTGCCTGAAATTTTTGTTCCGCCTGAATGTTTTTGGCGTAAACTTTATCGGATTAACAAAATTAAGAACTTTTATGCATGCTTGAGCCTTGGTTGGATGTATTCTCTGCTTCAACCTCTGTAGTTGAATTATGGTTTTTAATTATTCTTTTTTTTTCAGTATAAATCATTCCAATTTGGGAAAACCCTAAACCTAGACGTTTTCAAAAAAATTCATTTGAGGTTTTGCAGCAAAATATAACTAATTCAAATACCAAAAGGCGACTTAATTGATAAATTAATGTGAAAAATAACCTCATCAAATTTTTTCCAGTTTACAAACGTGTTTAACAATGTCAGTTCTTTGAGAGTGTTTTCGTAAAATCTGTGATTTAATCGTACACAAGAAACATTTTATCATGTTGGTATTTTGCGTAACCCTTCTATTTGATTGAATTTTTTTACGATATGTAGATAAGTCTGATATTTCGGAAAGTGTGGTCGTACCTTTCTGAGCGACTTGCACAGCAACCAGTTGTCCTTGTTTGAAACATAGCATTATCATGTATTTGAAAGTGGGCATTATTAAAAATTCTTAATTTCAAATACAAATCTTTCCCCTTTCGAGAAAACCTTTGATCCAATGAGTTTCAAAATAAATAGTGTCCTTACTAAGACACATTAAAACCTTAAACGGCAGTCAGGACATCGGAAGTCTCGCTCTGATTCAGCAGTCTCATTTTGCCAAATATCAAAAAGAGTGTTATTTAAAGCTAAAGATTAGACTGAAACATTATATTCGTCTAATTCCAGTACCTCCGCCGCTCACAAAAAAAAACGACAAAAAAGTTGCAAAAATAGATTAAGTGGATTTTCCATTCTACTTTTAGAGCAACTTGATATTAATTTTTGTAAGTGCTTTAATAGTTTAGTGTTTGCAGTTGCTAACCAGTCTATTGACACTGTTGAGATGCACATAATTGTCAACAATGTCCCCTCCCCTAGCCCCTCCCTGCACCCTTTTTCCCTGCTGTTGATTGCCCCCATTGGCAGTGTGGGAGTGGGGGTGGGGTGGGTTGAGGGGGTGGGGGTTCTGATTCTGAAGGGGTTCTCCTGATGGCTGGAACATGAGGTGTTGGTTGCGGATGTTGTAGTCTGCGTACCATGATTTGGCTTGCTCCTCCGAGTCCCTGTTAAACATTCCTTTATTCATTCTAAAGCAATATCATTTTTTCTCTAAAACGGAAAACGGAAGTACAATTCATTTTTTTCGGTTTTTTTTTGACATTCAACTAATACAATAATACACAGACTATTTACGAGGGTTTCAATATAAAATAGTTGTTCTTTTTTTGAGAAATGGCTGAATAAGTTGTGAATTGCGATTATGTTTTATTGAACATATGAAAATATGAAAAAAATGGCCGTTTGACATTTGAAATTTAAAATTTGGATCCTTTATTTGAATTCTGGTTCTTGTTTTGTACAACGAAATTCTAAATTCACTTAACTTAAATCAACAAATCAAATTAAAGAGAAAACTGGTTCGTATTTGTTAAAAGAGAGAAAAAGTTTATATCTTAACTATTAAAAAAAGATAGTGTAATTGTTGTTTTGTGTACTTGGTGAGTCGTTGTATGAGGTTGAGTAGGCGTCTGTTCTCCACGTAGAGTCTGTTGATGGAGATGCTCATCTCTTCACTCTCCCGGGGACTGTACATGTTCGTCCTGGCCTTCTCCATCATGTAGCGGTCGAACAGCTTCTGCACCAGCGTCTACACAAATATAAACATAAATAAATTTGTCTCAAATTGTGCAATAATCCAACAATATAGAAAACTTGTCAGTGAAAGAGCGCCAACTTGAGCAAGCGCAGAAGGTAATTCAACCTGTTGAAGTGCCGCTGAGAACTTTCTATTAAGTACCATCTTATATGGACCTGATTGTTTAATCTATGTACCATTTATTCAGAAATTTTTTTATAGATTAAAAAAACTGAAATTTTGAAAGGCGCGCCGAAAATCACGTGCCGAAAATCACGTGCCGAAAGAGGAGGCTAAATTTTTTCTAAGGGTCAAAACCTTCAAAAAGAACTTACAAATGGCTTTGTTTTCTTAAATATAAAAAAATCTTACAATTTTTTTGCAAAGGAGAACGTGATCGATTCTTTATCTGGTACTTGCTCACTAACCGGCTTTACTTGAAATTAGTCTGAAATTGATAATTAGAACAATTGCCTGATATGTGATCTGGGCTCTCCTGTCTGCCTCCTCCGTCTCCTCGGGGGGCTTCCAGTACTGGTCCCCCCTGAACAGACCCCCGGTGATTAATCCCCTCACTACCCTCACTCCCCATTTCACACTGGGCAGCAGGTTGAGGGGAGGGGGCAGGGTGCTGCCGTCTTCTATATACGTCATCCATAGTCTACTGCGGGCATATTTCCACTCTATGTCTGCGCGACTCTGAAAAAAGCCCAAAAATTAATAGACCAACTAAGTTTCGATAAAAAAGTTTTGTTCACTTTTTTTGATGACACTCTTTCATAGAACGAAGGGAACGCTACATTTGGCATCTTACTATTGATTTTTTAAAATATCTTTCGAAATACTTTGATCGATCAATCGCATTGGTGTTTAAGTTTAGCATCTAGACTGCTGGCCTCCTTTCAAATTTAAGCGAGCATGCTATTTGATAATTTCCACACGTCGTGTTTGAGCCGAAAAAACCAACGATGTTAAAAACAGCTGGGCAATATATTGCATAAAACTTGGCCGTCGACTTTTGTGAGATTTGAACGCTGGAAATTAAATTAACTACACGCAAGAAAAATTGCTTTTTAATAACTTTATAGAAAAATTCTTGTACTAATTTTTTTACCTCTATGTCCCTGTAGCTAGTGGTCATCATGGCCACCAGCATTCTGAGGAGGACTATGACAGCAGTGACGTAATAGGAGGCATACATGCACTCCACTATGGACATGATGATGGGGGTGGAGGCTGTCTGGAAGGACACTGATGGCTCTATGTTGTTGGGGGGAGGGGACAGGTTGAACAGCGCCCAGAACAGGGTCCGCATTGCACTGAACAGTCTGAAATAAAACAGAGTAAAAGAGCTCATAGACTTAAACTTGTGGTTATAGTTTTGAGAGAATTAGACTTTACTTGTCGACCAAATTGATTTTCACGCTCTATCGAAATACGATGAAGACCCTAATTTGACCAAACTTTCTGAGCCGCAGGCAAATTTTTTTAATGAAATATGCAATAAATGACGTGTTTGAGTACTTTTTGAATTTTTTTGACGTGTCAATACTCCCCACCCATATTTTTCTCTCTCTCTCTCTCTCTCTCTATCTATCTCTCTTTTTTCTTCTTCCTATATCCACCCTAGACCCCGATTTAGGGAGGATGTAAAAAAAGTGATAGTCGATAATCCAAAAATGGTAGCAAAAGCGAGGTACTTTTCAAAATACAAATTATTAGATTAGATTCAACGTTGCCCACTTACGTGTTGAATGCCTTTTTGTCAGACTGGTCGTTACATTCCCCAGTGGGGAGAGAGAGTCCGTCCAGACACTCTGTCTTGAAGAACCAGTTCAGCTGGTGCAGTCCACAGGCGAAGGACAGAAGAACCAGGCAGAAGATGAACATGAACTTGACAACGTCTTTCACCATCCGGAACAGAGATATCTGCATAGGGCCTAGAACACATACATTAAAGTCGTAACTGATGCTAAAAAGCCTAGTCAGTGTAGTCAAAAATAATGACTTGTATTTAAAGTCGCTTTTTTTAAGAAAAATTACTTTGCAACTAATCTGTATTTTGAACTAATATACTACACGCAGTAGCGTGCCGAGGGGGCGGGGGATGGGGGCATCAGCCTCCTTCCCTTCAATTCTGGTTCCCAAATTTTTCCAAAGGCCCCTTTTTGGTATAACTTGATGACATCCATTCTCGCTGAACAACCTCATAATTTTTCTAAAGGAGCCTTCGGCGCCAATACGACTAATTTTGAGGGGGGAGCGCGCGCCGAAAAAACGCAATTTATTGGTCAAAATGTACCAAAAAGTGCATAAGCACGCCTTTTATGACCTGTCTTTTGAAGTATTTGCCTGAGGAGTAAAAAAATTCACAAAATCGGGTCTCTTTATACTATTTTGGGAGAGCTCGGAAAATCACATTGGTCGACCTAAATAAAAAGTTCGGCAAAATTTTCAAAATTTTTTTTCGCAAAATCCCCACCCTCCTAAAAAAAATTCTGCGAACGCCACTGACTACACGAAACCTATCTGTAAAATGAACTAATTCAATTCATAAACAAATCAATTTGTCTGTTAAAAACTATGTTGTTTTTTTCTCTATTACTACTTACCTATCTGCTGGGATAGCGTAGCTAGAGTCACTAGTCGCATGAAGCTGAAGATGTTGGCTACTGCGAACACTCCTTCAGACAGAAACACTAGGTCGCAATACTGGAACGAAGACGAGGCACCTTCTTCTGCTGAGGGGTCTGGGTCACCAGAAGTTCGTCCCACCTACGGTGAAAAATGCTGTTAGTTCGAAAAAAATTCAATACAACGCATTTTCTCGATTCTGTCTGACATTTTTTTTTCAAAATATAGCAATATTGTACTGAATCAATCTTTTAGCAATTAACTTTAAACTTTTTGCAAATGGGCCAAAATGCAAAAAGCTGTTTTTTCTAGCCTGGGCAACTTTTAGGTCAAAAAGGCAGTTTTCCACGGGTCAAAGTTGGACTCGGGTCAATCTTAAAGTTTCAATGATTTTCCAGCGGAATTTGGAAAATTTAAATGCCGAACCATTGCAACCAAATAAGTCGAAAGTTCGATTGCGAGCAATTTTAGTGACTGATCGACTGATTTAAATAAATACGAACCTGAGTTACAAGGGAGGTATTGAGGGGAGTGTGTATGTTGTTGTTGATATTTGTGGTGATGTTGGTCCCATTGACCAGGTCGGAGTCGACGTCCACGACTGAATGGATGCCACTCTGAAAACAGAAAAACATTCTGAAAAGTAAAACAAATTACACATATTTTTAAATTTGCACACTTTTTTGCGAGAGGGAGAAAAATCGGCAAAAGCTGTTTTAACATATTGAGCGTCAATTTTGAAATCTTTTATCTAAACGACCCTTCTAAAGCCAACACTGAAATTTGATGATTTATTTTTTTATAATTTACTAGCTGATTTAAACAAAGCCAACAATCAGTTTGAAAAGATTTAATGAACGCAAGGAAACAAATAAAAACTTGAATTTTCGAACTTCCAAGCACGCAATAAGTGGACTTAAAGTTCTTTGAAATACATAATCAAATTATGATTGATACTCTTTTGATAAAATTAACTCAATTTGAGAAAATTGGATAAATAAGTGAGTTTTTATTCCGCTGGGAAATCTGGAAATTAAAATCCATTATCAAAACTAGAATTCAGTCACGTTTTTCATAACCTGAACACTTTTGCTGTTCGGCAGTGGACTTTGCTTTAAGACTAGAAAAAAGAGGCAAATAAGCCTTGAAAAGAACACTGGAAAACACTGATTTGTGAGCTAAACCTTTCGGGTTGATGGAACTTACTGACCAATACGCGACCAAGTTTGAACAAGACAGCTAGAAAAGAGTTAATGAACACAAAGAAACAGATCAAATTCAATTAGAATTCTGAAGTAAAATTATGTGACCTTAAAACTATGCGAATTTAAGGAACATTTTGTGATTGGTACTTTTTTGATGAAATCAACTCAACTCAATAAAATTGGATCAAGATGTAATTTTTTCATTTCGCTGGGAAATTGGAAAATTAAAAAGGATCTACTCAAAAACCTGCACCCCCCCCCCCTATTCAAGAAAGGGTGGGGGAGATTATTAAGTAGATTACTTGCAGCGAATTTTCGATCAATCAGAATGCAGCAAAATTCGAATTTACATACAACGCTCTGGTGCGAATTTACTGTTTTTATTTACAGGGTTGGAGATTCTTCTTTATTAGATACAATAGAGGGGGGGGGGGGGGGAGAGATTGTTAAGTAGATCTATTAAAAACCAGTTTCCAAATTAGATATTAGTCAATTTTTTTACTTTTACACTTTTCACTTTTGCTTTTCACCTTTTGCGATACAGGAGTTTGCCTTTTTTATCAAAGAATTTGAACTGAACTTGAAAGAAACCAAAAATCAAACCGCGAATTAAACTTGGGCGTGGACAAATTGTAAGACCTATCCTGAAAAAATCATAAAAGTCTTCACTAGGATCATCGAATTTTAACTTTAGGAAAAAAGTTGAGAAATTTTGTTGCGAATTTAAAAATTTTATTTTATCAGAAAAATCTGGAAAACACGTGTTCATTAACCTATTTTTTTTTTAAATCTAGATTGCAGGAAGAATTATTCTATTCCAGTTACTTACTTTAATTTTGAAACACTTTTCATTTTCAAATTTGTTTTCTAATTCTAGTTTTCTAACCAGCTAGTCTGTTGCTAGAATCTATAATATATAAAATCGATTTTTATTTTAAAAATTAATAAGATTGAATTGCTCCATAGACCTTAAAAGAAAGTTGGAACATTCGGGGCTTCGCGCAATCCGAGCAGTCTTGTTTCTATTTCCTCAGCAATTAGGCAGAACAATTTAGCTGAGGCTAGGGGCCAGGTCAAATAAAATCTTACAATGACGTGTGATGAGAATCGGAAAGCGACTGTGGAGAAGTAGAGTATGATCATGGTGGCGTCTATCCGGTTCCAGGGGTCATCAAAGTACGCACCCACCCCCTCCTGCACCTGCTTCAACTCATTCCACACCATGCCTGAACAAACTCAACTGTCAATCATAAAATTCACTGACAAATTTTAACTAGAATAAAATGAAGAAACGCTCTCACGCGGCGCTTGGTAACGGATGAATTATACTAAAAAATCATTGCGACAAACTGTCCTTGAGAACAATTTATTATGATTATTAAAGACGACTAGAGCTTTAAAAAATAAACAAAATATGGTTTAAAATTTTTTTAAAGCTTTTTGCGGTGCTACCAATTTGTCGAATTGAACAAGTGAAATTATTCACATCGCTTGTTCATATAATCATCATTGAGGAGGATCAGAGGCGGATCTAGGATTTTCCAAAATTTTTCAAAAATTTTGCGCGACCAAATTGATTTTCCGGGCATCATAAAACACTACTTTGACAAAAAATTTTGCCCTGCATGCAATTTTTTTGAAAAAAAAAAAGCCAAAAAGGCAGTTTTGGGCAATTTTTGGAAAGTTTGACCAAAAAAATTTTTTTTGGCGCGCGCTGCCCTTCAAAATTAAAATATATTGGCACCCAAAGCGTCTTTAGAAAAATGTTAGTGTTGATCGACCGAAAATGGACGTCATAAAAAGATACCAAAGGAGGCACCCTTTGGTTGGTGAGGGGGTCGAATCTCTGAGAAGAAGAAGCGTTCGCCCCAGCCCACCCTCTAAATCCGCACCTGAGGTGGATATTGGGCTACTTTCTATCGTCTAAAAAAGTTTCGAAAGCGCTTCAAAGCTTAGATAAACAAAATTTTCATCACTTTTTTTCAAGTTTTAATTATTAGATTAACGCTTTTAGAGTCACCTAATATACGAGCTTACAAAATCAAAAAAACTCACCGATGACCCACATACAAATGAGCCACTCAGTTAGCGACGGAAGCACCAGAGTCAACTCCTGATTGGCGTTCCCACCCCTCCCCCCACCGGTGCCGCCCACTCCCCCTGCCCCGCCCACTTCCTGCCTGTTGAATGCCCTCTCCTCACTGGTGGCTGCAGCTGTGATTAGCAGCATGAGGAAGGTGAATTGACTGGCCATGTGGTTGACAAATTTGACCAGGGGGATCTGCACTAGATCTTTTACCTGAAATACAATTCGTCATTTGCCAGGAGTGTAATTAACATAAAATTAAAGCCAGTGGCTTGCGCAGAAATGTTTTTACGGGGGGGGGGGGGGGGGGGTTTGGTGGGTTTGAAAAAAATCAGTCTGTGATTGAGTTCAGTAATTTTGAGCTTTTCGAACTCTGTCGAAATCCCATAATGCACCGCACTGGAAGATTTTGACCAAAGTTTGCTTTTTTTGGTGTGCTCCCCCTCAAATTCAGCATAAATTGGCAATAGCACTTAAGAAGGTGCTTTTAAAAAATTTAAGGGTTGGTTTTTTTGAAGTTGTTTTTTAAGGGTTGGTCAGCATTCAGAGAAATTAGCTTAAATTAATTAAATTAATTTGAAAGGTTTTAAATGCAGTTAAAATGACCTTGAAGTCGTGACACAATGTTACATTGGGAATTGTGATGTACAGTAAAGCGAAGAGAGGGAGCTCGAGTAAGGCCACTAGAAATAGAAGAGGCAGCAGACAGGCACGGGTGAGGAAGTTTGTTTTCCTCCACTTGTTGATCAGGGGGGCACTCTTCCCGTACCAGATGGGGGAAAGCACTAGCTGCACATTTGCACTCGCCACGAACTGAAACACATAGTAAAATGAAGAAAAAAAAACTGAATGATGTTGGCAGAATCGAAGGAGGTAGGGGTCTAAATTGGATGAGAGTAGTCGGTTGCCGTGCAAGCAACCGTAAGGCGACAATTCGTGACTGGCGACATTTCATAGTAGACGACAATTCGCAACAAGCGACAGTTCGTAACTGGCGACGATTCGAAACAGGCGACATTTCGTAACAGCCACAATATGAAACACGCGACAACTCAAAATAGGCGACAATTCGAAACAGGCGACAATTCGAAATAAGCGACAATTCGAAACAGGCGACAATTCGAAACAGGCGATAATTCGAAGCAGGCGACAATTCTTAACTCTAAATTAAGCGGCATAAACTGATTTACGAGCACTATTTTTCTTGTGCCAAATGTACGCGCAGTAGAGCAAGCGTTCGCTACTTGTTACGAGTTGTCCCTCGTTACGAGCTGTCGCATCAAATACAGTGCTGATTTAAACTATCCGGACAAAGCTATAAAAAAGCTTGATATTTGAAACGCGTTTTTTTTTTCAAATTGAGTTGACTTTGGACAAAAATTGATGAATACAAAACTTGCTTCAAAATTCAGCCGAATTGATAATAGTGTAAGGATGTAATATCTTTTGTGAACAAAATTCGGGTACAAAGTTTAACGACAATTACGGTTCAAAAATATTGGTTCAATTACTGACAAAAATATGTCAAAGTGAGCCGCTTATATAGCCCAGCAATATTTAAGGAAAGTTTAATCGTCTCAGTTTTGTATAATTCTTCTTCAGCAGAATTGATATGCTGTATTTTATTTTGCAAAGATCGGGTTCAAATTTCACCCAAAAAGACTATTTTTGGCTTTACGCCTATTACGGTTCACAAAAATTAGTTCAATTCACCAGAGGATTTGGGACGCCCTCCCCCGTTCAGGATTTCGACCCCTTGCCAACTCAAAGGGCCTCCCTTTGTACTATGTTAAGATATCCATTCTTGGATGCCCTAAAGTTTTTCTAAAGGCGCCAATATTACTAATATTGAGGGGGGAGCGCGCGCCGAAAAAACGCGATTTTTTTGTCAAACTTTTCCAAAAAATGCCTAAAACATTATTTTTTGACCTGTTTGTTTCGTGCTTTAGGATAGCTCGCAAAATCATTTTAGTCGTTCTAAAAAAGGTCGAAAACATTTAGGACATTTTTTGAAAATCCGCCCCCCTCGAGAAAATCCTGGATCGGCCTTTGGTTCAATTGCTGGCTAAAATATTTTGAAGTTAGCCTTTTAAATAGCCCAACAAAGTTTAAGGGAGGTTAAATTGTCTCAGTTTCATATAATTAATATTATTTCCGTTTGATATCCAAAAGGTTTCAATTTTACTGCATAAAATACTAATTCTTCTAAAGTTTTGCTGGGTTATAAAAAAGGCTCACTTCGATAAATATTTGTCAGCAATTGAACTAATTTGCTATGTTTTATTTTTGACTAACTAAAAATCGAAAATGATAGTTTTTAGATTTATATTCTGGACCCTAATTTCGCAAAATAAATTAGACCATAATAATTCTGTTGAAATTCTAAGCAAGTTGTCTTTATTTTTTTGTCTAAAATCAACCCAAGTTTTTTTGTTTTGTCCAAATCATTTAAATCATCACTGTATTGGACATCTTTTAAATTCAGATTTTCAATAGTTTTTTTTGGATTTCCAATAAACTAAGGAGAGATGGGCAGATGTTTGAAAGCGTAATAACAATAAATGGATAACTTAACTAACTTTTCCAAACAATTATATCGTCATTCAATCTTCACCCACAGCAATAAGTCAGCCCTAAAATCTTTTCCGACAATTTTTTATTAGACCACATCACAGCTGAAAATCCTTCATCATGCTTGAATATGATACCATACTCAATCGCCTACAAACTTTTTTTTACATATTTGCGTGCGCACCATTAAGTTATTTGATAAACCCTCTCGCTCTGATAAAAAAAATTGGATAATGAGTTGAGTAAGACACGGGAACAGTTAAAATTTTTTAGTTATGGATAAACTTTATATCAATTCCACTTCAAAGCAGGGGAACCAAGCAGACCGACAAATTCCGGAATTTTTTTGAAAGACGTATCTCCCTCCTACCAAAAAATTGTTGAGCCGCTTTGTTTGAAACACTGACTTTTCAAATATAGCAGTCTTTGAAGTTTTTATTGGCGCATTTGATGTAACCCTTTTCTCTTGGCCGTCCAATTAGTGCAAAGTGACTTGGAGTGAATGGAGTGGAATGATTGCCTGATTACTTGGAGCCCCTCAAGGGACATTGATGTTACAGGGTGACAATATAAACACCTGATTTTGACAAGCCAATTAGGGCAAAATGTACCAGTTTAAAAAAAAAGATCTGACAAAATTCCAGACTCTTTTTTTATCATCGGGTCAACGTATTTCTGGTGAAATTCACAAAAGTAACAAAAAAGGAACTAAAAAATTTGTGCCATTATTCACTATCCGACACAAGAATCTTAATCAAGTCTTGAAATAATAAGTTTTTTTGGTTCTAACTCCCTAAATTAAGTGACTGAAACGAATACTATTACACTAGTTTAGCAGTGAAACTATCCAACATCTGTTAAAATATGTCAAAAATGTAAGACTCTTTTGAAATATTTTTGAAACAAAGAATGTTTCAATGTAGTTAGTAAAATGCGCACTCACATTCTTACGTTCCAGGTCCACGGAGTACTGGAGTGTCTCGAGGTACTTGCCAGTGGGTCCTTGGACCAGAAGGGTGGCCAGCTCTTCTGGGTGTGTCAGCTTGAGCAGCTCCACCGCAAACTGCTCCATGACACAGCTCATCTGGAAAAGATGAAATGAAAAAGGGTCTCTGGCTTCAGATTCCGCCAAAAAAAAATCAAAAACAAAAAAAGTTCTCTCATTTCTTAAAATTTCTCAATACTTTCTCTCCAGTCAGCAAAACGTAAACTATTTTTTATTAAATTTCCAAAACTGATACTTCGTCAATTTTTTTTACCTCGTCGTATTAGATTTTTTCTATTAATTGATAAAAGAAAGAACACATTTTTCGACAACCCAAGCACTGAATAATGAGGTAGTCCCGCTCGTTCAAAATCCTCGAATAACTCGAAAAGCTCATAAAATTTCATCATGACACAATTTCAGCATAGACCTCAACAATGGACACTTTCTTCTTGTTTGTTGACGTACTACAATACGTTTTGCATCACAAAAATTACGGATGTTTTTTTTCTGAAAATTATAACCTCTTAGTCAGGGACCCTAGCTGCTTAACAACTGACTGAGGTATCAAAATTTGATAAGTCAATCAATTGTAACTAAATTTTCATCTTTTAGAGTTATTTTTTAATATTGATTATGATTCCAAAATATCTTTTTACTACTCTTTATAGCTTTAAAAGAGATCAACAATTTCCGTACGTGCCTTGATTCAAAGAGACACCTCCCAGACAGTTTTCCAAAACTTTTCCGAAATTTAGCTGAACCAACTTTAAGTTACCTTTATTTTTAAAGTAAAGGTTTACCTGAAGTACTTTTAAGGTAGACTTGAGGTAAAGTTTACCTTAACTATCACTTAACTTCAGTCACTTAGGACAACTCGGACTCAATTTTTTTGAGTGTGTCGGGACTGAAGTGGACTTAACTTGCCTGGTGATAGTCCTCGAAGAACTCGTACTCCCACATACTCCACTGGTCCAGCTCCTGGCTGAGAGCCAGACTGGCGTGAATAGGGTTGCAGGGCTCCACACTCAACAGGTACATGGGGGCGGAGATCGCCTTGAACACATTCAAGGTCGCATGAGCACTCAGGGGGTCATTGTGGTCGTGTTGTTCTGGTCTACAATATACCAAACAAAAACAAGGTAGAAGATACTAAAAAAGTAGAAAATTATTTTACTAAGCGCACAGTGATGCTATATTATGAAAAAAATATATATGAAATTAGTTAAAATTGTTTGTAAAATGCCTATAAGCTTACTTTTTAATAAATATAGAATTTTGTCAGCATCTGCGAAATGGTTGAAATCGACTCAGTACCTCTGTATGTGTGTGGCGCCGTGTTTGAAGAGAAGACTGATCATCTGGTAGTTGTTGTGGTGTGCTGCCAACATCAGGGGTGTCATGTCAGGGGGGAAGTAGCCACTCTTACTAGTGCCCTGGATCACGTCCTGTGACACAACATAGGGCTCCGAATAAGACAGATAAGTATGAAAAATCAACAGTATCAAATTCGTGATTCGGATTCCAAAAAAAAGTTTTTCTCAATGTCGAAAGAAATTGGTCTAAATTTTTGAATTTTCAGACCAACTTCGATTTGGATGACACAGAATTTGAGCCCAATTTAATTCTAATTAGTTTTTTTTTTCACTTTAATTCAGAGAAAATTGCACCTGATGTGTAAAATGCTTTCATATAATGGCCCTTTAGCTTAAACAAAACACAGTAAGTTTTTTGTAAAATATATTTTTCTATTGTTTTCTTTTGAACTTTTACTTAACTCATAATGGTCGAAACATTCTGTTCTGCTTGCATAGCAAACGACTATCCTTGTTTTTTATCCTACATTTGATAAGATTTAATCAGATTAAAATCAATTTTGAAATCAACCATCAGAGCTCAATTTTGAAAACATTTCATCCTCATAACTCATTAAAAGGTATAGGCTAAAAATAGTTTTCGATTTTTAACTCACCAGAAACTGGGGCGCCTGAAGCAACTCCCGCAACACACTTACACACTCCAGATCTATCGCATGTAGGAGAATGTCTATGGACGCCGTATGGCTACAATGAGTCATCACATCCTCAACTGTATCATGTTGCACTGCTTGGAGAAACTTCAGTCTCCTGTGCTCATCGATATCCCCACCCTTTTTCCCAACTCCCCCACCCCCTCCTCCAGCCCTGCCTCCCCCTCCTACCCCCACTCCTGCTGAGTCGGTCCAATTGGTGGGGCCAGAGTGGAATGAGGGGTACATGACCATCTAGGACTCTGGTTACTGCAGCTTCAGGGTATGTTTTGAAGCATCAGCTGGTTTGATCTGTAAGCAGAACACACCATTATAGTTTAAAATGCTGGTCTATAAGCTTATAAACAAAGTTTCAGAGAGATTGTTGCTTCATCTGTAAAAAAAATTAGAGGTCTTAGTTTACCTATAAAATTTTATTTCAAATTAATTTTCTAATTTTTGAATGTTTTTTCCAAAAAAATCTGAAATGAAAAATTTTAATTTTATTTTTATTTATTATGATTTCTACTTAAAATTTTCTTCGAGTGAACACATATGGCATAAATTCAAAGCTGGTGGTATATAAACTAGCCGATGTAAAAACCAGCCGAAGTATCAAGCAGCAAAAAATACATAAGCGTTATATAAAATTGTTATTACGCTAGCGATTAGCAAGCGTTATCAAACTGGAATAAAGACTTTTCGGGTTAACAATTAGTTCAACAAAATCAGTTGAATCAGTTACCTCGCTGTTCTGATATCAACAAAACAGAATGCGTGTTGAATTTTTTTTTTGAGCATGTACGCCTTTTAAATGGACGTTCCATTCGAAGTTTTATTATTGGTGGTAAAACAGCTCTTGTTTTAGTTTTTTTTCGCTTATTATTTTTTGCTAGTTTCTTTTCAAGGTTTTTTTCGGCTTAAATGATTTCGGCTGAAACATATCTGCTAAGATATCTGATAACTCGTCGTTTGAATCGCCAAAGTTTTCAAACTGCTTCTGTGCTTACGGAAGGGTAGGTGGTGGGGGGAGGGGGGGGGGGGGGGGGGTTTGCTACAACTTCGGATTTTTTTGGCTCAAAATGTTTTATATCTCAATTTTGATTTTTTTTCGGGCATCAGTCGTTTACCCAGTTTCTGTCTGCTCAGTGTCCGCTAAATAAATTTTGTTTTTCAAACTTATTTAAAACTGGTTGTTGTGTTTCTCAGTATTTCTCTTAGATTTATCCGTGTTCCAGACAAACGTTAAAAATCAATTTTTTAAACGATTTGTCTAACATTTTGTTTTGATTCAGCTCGCTTTTTTTTGAGCTAGCAGCCGTGCCATTTTTTGTTGTATCGCAATGGCTGAGCACCCTCGATAATCAATTGGGGGTTATTTCAATCCCATAAAATCTGTTCAAGAACGTGTTGAATCTAATTTCAAATTAAATTTTAATTCAATTAGTTTGATAAAAATACATTCAAGGCAAAAGTGTTGATGGAATCTGGTAACCGGAAAAAAATTCTTAGTTTTGTGCGAGCAGGTACAGAGAAAAATGTCAATTTTTTGCTAATATTTGAGAGAGTCGCGATTGACGCAGTTTTGATTTCATACTACACCGTAGCCACTCGGAAGTTTCTTTCGGGTAACTGAAATAAGGGGAAACAGCGCTAAAAGTAATAATGAAAAAAGTAGCGATGGGGAAAAGGCTAGACCTCCACCTCTGGAGAAAATTCGAAGTTCGAGACTTAACTTGATCCGTGCTAGTGATGGTTGCCTGCAAGCGAAGCAGCAATTGCCATTCCAGAAAATAACCCAAAAAAGGCATGTAATTCATAAGCGGGGGCACAATCGCGGATCTCTTTGAAGAGCTGTATTTTGGTGGTCATTTCCCTTGTGAACAAATGGTCTCAAAATACTGACCTGGTTTTCAAGGCCTTTGTGCTTTTTATTTCTGCTTTCGTGATAAACATCTTCGGTTGCCATCTGATATCGTTAAATCTTCCTTTAACTTCATGGTAGGTAGCAATTCGAGCTCAGGTTTTTTTGACTGAAGTAAATCAGAAAGAGCTCAGCTGAAAAATATAATAAACATGTATAATGTGTAATTGAATAATAAGGACTGAAAAGAAAATAAATCAATCACAAATGGCAATCAAATTGACAATACTACCAAAAAGTGTCAAAAAAGAGTTATTTCATAAGAAAACTGTACCTATATATTGAAGTTTGATGCAAAATATTTCAGAAAAATGCCGATAAATCTGTGAGTTTTAAGTCAGCTCAGCTTAGGTTGTTTGGTATAGTTCAATTGGTGGTTATTTCAATTTATCACCAACGATGAATTGGATGTCTAAAATGAAGTGAAAGGTTGTCCCCTTTCACAATTCGTCTGTACCAATCGCCCGCTTAATTTCGAAATGGCCAAATTTACTAATGTAAAAGTTATGGGGTGACATTTCAAACGCCTGATGAGGTTTGATTGAAGTGTTTCATCCTCGAATAAGCCCAACAATCACATAAGCACCCCCTCCCTTTAGCCCCCAAAAAATCTCTGAGCACCAGCCGATAATGATCAAAATATACCACTAGATGAAAGTAATTCATGTAAAATAAAACAATGACATTTAATGAAGCGAAAAGTTACAAATGGGAAAAGCCATTAAATCAGGCAAAAAATTATAACTGAAAATGGCAAATCATTACCATAGTGGAATCAGAAGATAAAAATAAACACCAACTGAGCTTTAAAAATTCAACAGACCAACATACCATTTAGCCAGTGGTGTCATTTAGCCCGGGAAAACAAGCCAAATGGCGTGAATTTTGGGCAATATTGGCAATAAAACAGCGAAACAGCAAAGAGTGAATACATATTCTATTTTATTTGAAATGGAGACACCAAAATATTTAGTCTTGCTAGGACGATGAAGATTTAGACGATTTGCATGTCAAAAAAGACAGACGCGCAGGATTATTGGTGATTTTACCAGTGGATTGAACTCTGTTTTTACTTCAAAAACATCAACAAATTGCAAAAAAGATCAAGTTTTTGTTTGAATATTTAGTTTTCATATGGTTCAATCAAGCATTTGTTTGCAATCATGCCATAAATCTCTATTTGAGTATTAATCATCATAGGGTTCGGCTTATTTTTTCCAAAAAAAATTCGAATGATTACAATTGACGTTCACGTGGAAAACGTCTGTCTTCAATCTGAATCCATTTATTAGATCCATTGAGGCTAAATTTTTAGCTGCGAAACTAAATAATTGCTTTAAATTGATCTTCTTAATTGTCGGTTTACTATCCTGTAGGCTTACTTACTCAAAACATTTCAGGAGACAATGAACATAGACTCTTATTGCATCAGAGAAGCACAGAGTCAAAAATGAGAGAAAAGAGCGAAGGTGAAATAAGAGTAGAGTAGCGAATGAGAATAGAAATGGTCAATTTGAGAAAGGCTCCTTCTATTTTACCCCGCCGCCACCATCGCCCATCCCCTGCTTTGAAGTCTAGCAGTGCCATCTCTGTGTGAATGAACGTGGAACGCTGGATGTAATATGATACTTCTACAGTACAGTGACATCGTGGCCATAAAATACTAGACTCCAAGGGTGAACGTGAGCATCAGGTTATCTTGGACACAGGGGCGTGCGTAGGATTTTTTGGACGGGGTAGTCAACTTTGAGTTTCAGATTCTGCTACATATTTCAATTCTGCTGTATTCGCCGCTCTTAATTGGAGTTAACTATAAGTTAGTCGTAAAAAACTATAGATATATCGCCTGCTGCCATTTCAGTCTTTCCATTATTCAAAAAATTTTAAAATAAGTTATGGCTGCGCGTGCTATATTAGTTTAAAAGTTTCAACAATGGTACAAGCTTAAGAGTATTTTCGTGTTTGTTTTAGGTTGTCGTATTGTAGGCGTAGCAATTAGCATGCGTGCCTACTATCATGCGATAAATGCTTTGATTAGGTGTTTATTTGGATGAAAACAAATTAGCTGAAAAATTCATTCTGTTTGACTTGTTCAGAGAATTGAAATTTCATTTTCGACAAATTAGATATTCGGCAAAGTTTGAGTTAGAAAAGTTTTAATTTGCGAAAGAGTCGACTTCACTCTTTTACATGGGCATCCTAATCGACACACATGCTACAAGACCGGTCTTCGTGCGCAGCGGTTATACCGTAACAAGCAACCTGTTAGATAAACAGAAACACCATTAACCAGAAAATATATTTTATTACAAAACTAATGCCTAGCGAGTGTAAAAAAAAATAAAAAAATACCGTATTATTCCCTTTTAATTTAAAGAAAATGGCTTTTTGAGAGTCCCAAAAATCTGGAAAGTTTTTCTTTGAAACCAAAAAAAACTTTCAATAGCCAATTAGGCTAAACTATTATCAATTTTTTTTTGCTTATTGTTGTGTGTGAAAATAACAGTTTCCGATCGTTGTTGCATAACCTAATTATTATTATAGCATCTGAACTAATTACCAACCAAATTGATTCGAGTGATAATCTGCCACCTTACACTATGATTTGTAAAAAAATGTTAATCGGTACTTTTGAAAAAATCAATTCTAATGGGCTAAAACTTGCATTTTATGGCAATTTAAAACCCGCCCTCTGATTCACTTCTGAGCAATTGTTTTCAGTTTGTTTTCAAAGTTTTTTAATATGCTATATACTATAATATAGTATAACATATACTATATTATACTACTTTTAATATACTATTTTTTTGCCTAAAGTATACTCACCTTTCAACGTTTGCCCGGCCTTTGAGTTATATTCAATGTCTGTTTCTTATAAAATTTAAGAAAAAGGTTTAACTCTTATTTAGTTTAACTTGTTCTAAATGGGTGTAATGATTTTCTTTAAGCGCCATAAATTATACACAAATTTTTCAGTTTACACAAATTTTTTAAGAACTTTGCTTAAACTATACTCAATGCTTATAACGTTTGCTGAACCTTTAAATTGTTTTTTGATTTTTAAAACAAAAAATTAAGAAAAATTACATCCCATTCAGACCAACTTGTTCTAAATGGGGTCTAATGATTTTATCTAAGCTCCATTAAGTATCCTTAAAAGTTTTCAAAGTTTGACTAGCGTAATGCATAGCAGCAAGACTTTGCAGGACTTACCCGACTTTAGCAGCCACACAATTAGAAGTTGGCTTATAAAGCAGAGTAATTCGTCGAGCAGTAGATAGAACAGAATCTTACCATTTTTTTAGAATTTTTTTGTGAGATATTAATTCTTTTTCTCAGAAATACAAATTAGGCATCTATGCACTACTGTAGTAATCTAAATTGGGGAAAATGTAGAAAAAAGTTTCAGAAAAGTCTGCGTCAAGTTTAAATTTCTGAAAATCTGAGCATAACGAAAACAAAATTCATTTGATTATTTAGTTTGTCTGTTATGCTATCAGTAGTTTTTTACTGAACGCATTCGGGGGTATTCTCTTGATGAAGCGACCACGTGATGGAAATTTTCCAACCAATCAGAAATGTTAGACGTTCCAATTGGCTAATTGACTTTTGCAGTTACCGTAGTTCTATTAACAGAAGTTACAGCGGCACAGCAAAATTTTGTTTGTTTTATTTTTCATTTAAAAAACATCGTTTTCAGGTTTTTTCCAGTACTTACCCGACTTCGATTTTGCATTATTTGAAATTTCATGTAGCTGCTTATTTTTTAATTGCTTAAAAGTACAAAAGTAGCTTTAATGGCCTGGCGTTATTCGCTTTGTGAAGTTTTTGCGATTTGCTTAAGATTTATAAATAATCGATTTTGATTAGCTGAAAATAACTGAAAATAAATTTCCAACATTTGGTCCACCCACCATGTTGGACGCCACCAAGCATTTTTACTGAAACATTTTTATGGGAAAGAAACAAAATTTTTACAGCAAAAATTTTGCTCTATACAGCTGCAATATTCTTTGAGGCCTGGAATAGCAATTTTTTTTCTGTTATATGGCTTAAAAGTGAGCTTTGCAATGTTCTCAAGATAAATCATGACGCTCGAATTTGATTAGAAGAAAATATATCCAGCGAGCTAAACTTGTTTTTTTTATTGTAAAAGAAGCTCAAAAACAATTTGGTTGTTTTGGGCTATATAACAGAAAAGTCTCAATTTGTTCCTAAATTATCAATTCTGGGTTGTTTAACAAACATTTTCCTCTTAAACAATCCCATCAATCAAGGATACTTTGGCAATAAATTGTATTTTAAAAACCATGTCTATAATTCAATAATTCCAATAAATTGAAGTACGTTTTTTGCTTAATTTTGCCCAGTAAAGTACAAAAAGAAGGTTTTGTCTGTTAATAAGCTCAAAATTAGAAAACTGTTAGTCGCAATAGCCGTTTTTGTTCCGACTTTCGATACGAAAGTAACGGAATATTTGTGCTCGGGGTGGGTTTTTTTTCTTCAGACAAATTTCGACTTTTTAACTAGCCATTTTTGACGGAATTTTTTATATCATTCGAAAGGTATTGTTGTCCTGAGCTCTAATTTGAAAAGATATTTCACCTGTGATCATTTTTCGTTAAGTTATGGGGGTTTGAAGATTGCCATTTTGGCCAATTTGGGACAATTAACGCGCGATATATTTCGCGCTATTAACGCGTAAGCGGAGAGTTAATCCGTCTTAGAAATTGTTTCAAATTGATTTAACGAAGCTTATTTGCCATAATTGATTTGTTACAAGTAGCGAAATCTATCCTTTTGTACTTTATATGGCGTGTGGGGGGATGATTTAAAAAAAGTTAAAAATTTTTGAAAAAAAAATTTTAATTTTGTTTTATTACTTTTAATTTTTTAATGATATTACTGCTCCATAAACCTTAATGGGCAGTCGGAACATTCAGGGCTTCGCACTGATACGAGCAGTCTTGTTTTATTTTAGTTTCAATTTAAGAAAATGAGAAATGTAAGTACGGATAACTCAAAAAAAAGAGGTTGCAAATTGAGTATCACGGAGTCGCAGTACTTCTTTAGACGAAAAAACTGGAATCAAAGATTACTTACCACGAATGATAATGCCACAGAATTGGTTTATGGTTAGATAACCAATAAATAAATAACAAAATATTTTAGGCCTTAATTGACAAAATAAAAGACTGATTGTCAATTTGCTTCTAGGCAAAATTTTTCTCAGTGCTCTTCTTTGGATAACTTTTAATTAGGATGTGAATATGGATGAAAGAAAACTTCTCAACAGGCGCCTACAGGCATCAGTTTCCTGTTTTGGAACAATTTTATTTGAGCAATTTTATTTCATTAGTGTCTTTGACGATGAAACTGGCATTTCCAGACAATGTATCTAAGAAGTAAAATTGTTGAAATCAACTGTTGACTTTTTATTGGAGTTAATCGCAATCATTAACTTCAAATTAGTGAACATATTTTGATGCGAAAATAAAAATTAAAGAACATATAAAATTTAACCAAAAAAATGCGATTCAAAGAAATGAACATTGTTAACCTAATTTTAGCAAACTGTAGCAAGAATACGAAGAGAAAATGAAAGTTCCTGTCTCTATATAATTTGCAAAACTATAAATACAACAACTCAATGATTCAATTAAAAATATTGAAGAGATGTAACGTATTTGACGGTTGGTGTAAGACAAGACTAAGTGAATCAGTCAACGCATAAATTATCAAACTGTGACTTGTCTAAGCAACCGGAAACATAAAATAAAGAAGACCGGATTTTTTACCGGAATTTAAGCAACGAGGCATAAATGCAAAGCGCGATCAAAAGCGAAAAAATACCACTTTCGCTTCAGACTTTTTATGAATTGAAGATTAAAAGCGCCGATTCAAGAAAAAAAAACATCGGAAGCTCAAACAAGAAATTGGAGTAGTAAAGAATGAAACAGAACTTCAGGACGAAATAAAAAAAGAACAAATAAAAACATTTTTTATTTATATTTGTCTCTTTTAGATGCGTCAGGCCTGATTGTCCAAACTAAAGCATGCTAAGCGGCATGGCAGTTTTTTTATTCCTTGCAATTTAGTTTATGCTTCAAATTTAATCTACGTCGCAACTGTAAAATCAGTACAATAAACCTGCGCTGTGATGCAGCCGATGCTTTTGCTTCCATTTAAGATGAAGATGGTGGATGTTGATGTTCAGTAGAATGGCTGCTGTACTTTTTGTATATCCTATTGTTGTAGTTCTTTTTGTATCAATTCATCCTTTAGAGTTCTTAAATCTACCTCTTAATGCTCTCAACACTGCTAAAAATCTAATGCATATTTTACTGGACGGGTCAATTTTTCATTGTTTCTTCATTTTCAATAAATTTTGTTCATTTTTTTTTTCATTACATGTCTTGTCATAAATCACGTTTTGTTCTTAAAATAGTTTTCTTATCCTAATTTGTCTGGCGTTTTTTGCCTGTAACTTGGTTGAAATTAAGCTCAGTTTGGATCATCATCATTTTTATGGTTACGCAAGGCGAACTCAGTTCCTTTTAATCTTTTTTCGATACCATGATGCAGTAGCATCAGGTGTGTTCATTGAATGTATCTCGTTTTTTTTTGCCGAATATTGCACTATAGTACTGAATAATATGTGATAAAATTGACACTCAAACCTTTTATTATATTAGCTTCACGAAACATCACTTTTTCGTTTGACGACAAAACTTTATGCGCTGCATGAAAAGTTTCATCATAGATTTTGAGCAAAAAATTGCCTGTGATCCCAAAATAAAGCCTCGCAAAAGAAAATGAATAAAAAATATAAACAAGAAACAACAAAGAGGTTAATTGCACTGAAATAGGTCAATGATCACATCTAGTGAGTCATAAAATAGCTTTTATGTTGTTATTTTTCTTTATATAAAAACTTTTTTTCGTCTCATGGTCAATTAATCAAATTACGTTTAGCTTTTTTCTGGTTTTTTATAATCTCATTTTGTGGATACATATTTTTTGACAGTGAACAAAGGTGCTAGTAAAAAGAAGTATACAATCTGATAATCTAGTTTGATGTTTTATTCTGTAATTCGAATTGCAAAGGTTGATTTGAATTACAATTGCGATCATTCGAAAAAGGTGACAAGTCACTTTATTACAGCTGTTTGGTTTGAACTTTGCAGTTTCGTTATATCAGAGCAAA